AAACTAATAAGTTAAGTAAAACAGTCCAGTAGGTTTTGCTGCATTAAAAAAATCATTTTAGTAACACTTTTTCAACAAGCAATTGTTATACTTTTAGTGATTTGTAGAGCGTCGAATCATAATGTTATTGTACTGTTTTAAATTGTAGATTTTATTCATTCATGAAAAACATTTATTACAATTTTATAATAAAATGTATAAAACACTGAGTTCGAGATTCAAATCACAAATCCACCTAAGCTAGAAAACTGCAAATCCGAATATTTTTGTTTATAAAATATTCACTTTCCATTCAATAAATAATCCAGTCATCTAGTTTTCGATTTGGGGAAATTCATTCTCCTTTTCCCATAAATACAGATTGCCGTATTATTTAAAAATCAAACCAAACAGCATGTAATCAAAGAATGCTTGTATCCGCCATATGTAATATTGTCACGTGACATTGTTATGTTTTGTTTCGCTTGGGAAGCGTTTATTATACACAATAGAACTCCAGTGTAGTAAGCCATAACTATGAACAATATCATGTCCCAAATAAATAATCTAATTTGTAAATCTGCAATTGGTCACATGATGGTCCGAAAATTATTTGTATGGCTATATTTGTTGACAGCAAAAACAGCTAATAACTAGAACTGCGATGCAGTAATGACGGGTTTCACCGGTGCCACTTTACCCTAAACATGTTACTTCCGGTACCAATGAAACCATTAAACAGGTTTCCACATAAGCATTGCACACATCAAATAAAATGGACGCCGAATCAACAAAATCCAGCAATATCAATTCATTTTATACATTTGTTACATGTATGTGTACTGTACTTCCGGTGATAATGAAAATGTTCAATTAGTTTTATGAAATCAGAAATGACATAAGGCATCACATGGTGAAAATTTTATGTAAATCGAATAACAATTGCCACTTTCATAGACCAAAAACCTTGAAAAGTGACTTGTAGAAAATCGCCTATTTCTCTGCAACCGTACAAGTTAGAAACCATTTTCTGGTATCTGTATGATCGTATGGGTTCGATCTATTTGCTGATTGGAATCAAATATCATAATTTTAAAAACAATACAAATAAGACTCATTTGAATAAAATATCTGTTTTGAAGGCTAAAAATACAGTTTTTGCCAAAATGACGTTACTTACGGTGATAATGAAAATCTTAAATTACTTGTATGAAATCGTAAATGGCATTAGGTATCACACAGTGAAAATTTTATGAAAATCGAATAATAATTGACACTTTTGTGGACAAAAAACCTTGAAAAGTGACCTGTTAAAAATTGCCTATTTCTCCGCAACTGAACAAGTTAGAAACCATTTTGTGATATCTATATGATCGTATGGGTTCATTCTTTTAGTTGATTAGAATCAAATATCAAAATCTTAAACAAACACTAAATACGACTCATTTGAATAAATTATTTGTTTCGAAGGCTATAAATACAGTTTTTGCCCAAATTTCGTCATTTCCGGTGACATTGAAAATGTAAAATTGAGTTGAATAAGTCACAATTGACATTATGCATCAAATGGTGTCACTTTTATGGAAATCCAATAATAATTGACTCTTTTACAGGCACAATAGCGTAAAGAGTGACTCATGCAAAATTGACCATTTCTCGGCAACTGCGCATATTACAAATTAATTTTCACATACATTCTCTCCATATAGATTATTGCAACGAGTTTATGAAAGTTACGAAGTAATATTTTAAAATATGAAAACGCTGGATGGGTTGTAAATAGCTTAATTTTACACCTTTTTTCACCTTTTAATCGAAATAGCCCGAAAACGGAATCGAAATTAATAAAACTGTGAAAAAAATAATATTTGCTTTCTAAAAGTGGTACCTAACTGTCAAAATTTTAGTTTTTGGCAAAATTACGCCACTTTCGGTGCCGACAGATAACTCGATCGGGAACAAAAAAATGGGAATTGAGACAACAGGATATATATGAACTTTGTTTTATACAAATCGAACAATAAATAATTAATCTAGGACTGAAAAACTGAATTAGCCAATGGCGGCCAAGGAATATTATGGAGACAATTTTTTTTTAGATTTTTGCTCATGTCAGATGACTCGTTAATTTCGTGTAAAGCACGACTAAAAAATATTCATAAATAAAAAAGTTTTTTGTAAAAATTTTAATTTTCGAAATTTGGCGCCTAATATCTGTGAAGATTTGCCGAAAATCAAAAATCAAAAGTAGCATAGCTATGTGCCCTGTGTCCGGCTATGCCAAAATGTATCGAAAGTTAAAATCCAATGATTATTGTTAAAATTACTGCGATATTTCTAAAAACGATAGCTTCGGTGATTTCGGACATTTCGCATTGTCGCAGAACGATCAAAATAGCTTTATCCTCTAAGTCACACCCACTTTTCCAGTAAAACCGAAGAAATCGTAACGATCCGACAAGGAGTTGCTGAGATCTAATCAAAAATAATTTGGAATAATAATAATAATAAGAAGAAGAATAATAATCTTAACAAAAACAATAGTGTTTCACACAAGCTACGCAGTGTGAAACCCTAATTATCTTGGATAAAATACCTCGTTTAGTAAACGAGGCAATTTTACCCAGCCTCGTTCTGAACAAAATACCTCGTTCCAAAAACAGGGCAATTTAAAAAACCACGATTTGGAACTCCAGACAAACGAGGTATTTTTTTGGAACTCCAGACAAACGAGGTATTCTTTTTACCTCGTTACAACGTGGCAAAATCGGGGCAAAAACTTTGACACGTTTTTGCCTCGTTTGGACAGAAATGCCGAACGAGGCATTCTGAGGTTTATAGAGTTGGTATGACAAGATGAAACAGATCAATATTGAGACTGATGCCTCCCGTCTCATTAAACAGACATTATGCAAGAGCTAAATCTACCTATTGCAGGTCTTTCTTTAGTCCTGGAATGTTACATAAACTATTAATTACGCATTTATGAACATGATAGGCCCATAATCTAGGCATGATGCCGTCGGATAAGTAGATTAGAATGGTTCGGTCATTTTCTGATTTTATCTAAAAATGGAGGAGCGAGACTTAGCCTCAAACAACCAGGACGGTGGTTACAAAAATTGCACACATCTTGTCAAACCTTCAAAGACTAATATCTTCGCTCAGAATAAAGTAATTTGAATGAAATTTTCAATATATTCTATTTGCATTATTTATTTTTGAACCATTATAGCAGGAATAGCCAGCTCTTTATCTAAATGTTACATAACACATTTTTAACAACTGGTTCATTTAATCTAATAATCAAATTGTTTATCACTATGCATAAACTAAGCAAAAAATGTTCATTATCGAACTCAGTTAAGGTACCGATTAAAAGCAAAATGATTGTGTTCAAATGCCTTATCTCTGTTAGTATGTGCCAAAAATGTCAGGGCATTCACATAGTGAACATCTACACCAAAATTTGAACATTCTACATCAATTAGAAACAGAGTTATTATATTCCAAAGGGTGTGACGGACAGACAGTCTAATAAACAGTTATGTCCCAAAGTTTTGAAGTCTGGAATTGCCTATCTTTGCTAAAAGAAATCATAAAGTGCTAATCCTCAAACACAGTCAAGGCATTCACCTGGTGAACACCTTCGCCAAGTTTTAGTAGATCACTACCCAGTAAAAACGTTAGATATTATGTAGAGTAGACCAAATTAGATCAAATTAAAGATCTAATGTTAATTAGATTTATAGTTTGATCTGAACCAATTAGCTATTCAGATCACATGGATCATATTGTAACCAATTTTTCTTGTCACATATCCTTATTACTTCCTTATAATTAATGGCCCAAGTGGACCTAATCGCCCATCAGAGTGTTAAGTGGGGAGGCTATCCGAAATTTTTCATTCTGAAATGTTAAAGCTATTGAATTGAAAATAGTACAAGTAGTTAGGAAATGTAATAAACAAGGGACAACTAGCATTTAACAAAAGTTGTTGCCAGGGTAACACATTTTTGGGGAAAAAATTATGAAAAACATAGGTACATTATAACTCTGTAACTAATTAAGATATCTTCGCCAAATTTGCAGGGTATATAAACTAATATCTACCACAGAATCAGACAGAAAGTAATTTGAATTATCCTTAATATTTCAAAAATTATCAAAATATTTCTCCAAAGACAAAATATTGTTGTGAGGCACATGTTTTAAACACCATTTTCCAAGAAACTATAAAAACTAATGTTAGTTTACCCTGTTTATCACATTTCCTAACTTCTTGTGCCATCTTCAATTCACTAGCTTTAGAATTTTAGAAAGCATTTTTCGGGTAGTCTGACCCCTTAAGATAAACTATTAATATACTAATAATTTCCCTGTCCTTGTGAAAATGTCTGAACTAGTCCATTGTTATGGATAAAAAAAAAAGAAAAATATGTCTACATGTCCCACCAAGCCTCACCCCTATACTTCTTGTAAATTGTATTTGAACAGATCTGAATAAAAACCACTCAAGGAACATACCTACCAAATTCGGCTGAAATCAATCAAGTGAATTACAAGCAGAAATCAAAACCAAGTGAAAAAGTATAAATTTTCCCCTCTGGTTATGATTGAAATCCACTTAGACGTTCTGACGACATGCTAATATGAAATTCAGAGAAAACTAGTCTAGATGTTTCTGCAGTGGAAGACTTTGTATTGAAAATAATTGTATTTCTGTTTTACTATATCTAAAGCCGTAGCACAAGGAAATGATTTACTGTGCTACAATAATTTAGAACCTGTCAAATATCATTCTTGAAAATTGAATTACATTTTTTTTAAAACTTGTAGAAAGAATTTTCTGAAATTGAGGCAATTACAGTAATTCTTTAATTCAACAATTTCCATGTGTATACAGCTTTTGTTTGTTGCACTAAAATGAAAGATGATCAACAAGACAAAACAACCCCAAGCATCCTTGGCACAGACTACTGTGGGATTAAAAAACTACTCCAACAAAATGGTTTAATTACCTTGTTTTTTTCTGTTGTGCCTCTATATCATCAGCATACATTCTCATAGAACGTTTCTTGACAGGGGGTCCGAGTAATTCTTGTAATTCTGCTTCCATATCTAACCCATCATCATCTAATTCTAAAGGTGCTGTTCCTGAAATAAATGATAACTATATTTTCATAGGGAAGAGTATGAGCATCAGAGAAAAACCCATTTCCGATCAAGGGACCTGCGAGAAGTATTCACTTTCTTCCCTGTAAACACATCTTTGTAAACACATGTACAATATGACATGATAAACAAGATAAAAAATTCCACTGAAAACTTGTTCTCAAGTTGAAATAAGCAAAATGTGAGTGAAAATTAAAAATCTGCAAAACAATTTCAAAAATTACGATCATGTATGGTGTCACAAGTTCTAAAAGTAAAAATATGATCAGAAATATAAATCAGTCTGTGTCACTACAGATCCGAGACTGAACAGCGCAGTGGACACTTACGACTAGCCCCCGGATCCATTCACTTTTTTTGAATTGTCTGTCTGTTTGTGTTTTCCTGAGTGTGATGTCTTGTCCGTGTATTTGTTTTTGTGTAAATTTTGTGTGGTGCAGTCCCCCTGCACTTACTATTAGAGTATTTACAAGAAAAGTTTGACCAACTGAGGGACAGGGTTGACGACAATATATGTCCAAACTACATAGATGTGTTTAAATATGATGGGTAGGGCATCAGCTACTTCTCCAACATCATTTAGGTAAAGCAAGCATTAAGCGTCTTGTCTCTTCTTTAAGCAGTGGACACCTTAATCATGCGGCTGAATCGTGCGGCTGAATCAATCGGTGCCAAATGGGTGGACACACTCGATTCACCAGTCGATTGCATCACCTTTCAAGTTACATGATTAAACATGGCGGCGCCCATGTCTTCAAACAATCACGTGACTTCTCGATATGAGGGATGATGAGTGGTGATTGGCTAATGAATTCTACATTGGGGCGAAAGTGGACACACTAGGCGAATATAATTCGGCCAAATATATCAAACTTGTTTGAATCGCCCAAATCATTCGGCCGAATAGAAATTCTGTCGAATGACAGTGGACACACTAGGCGAATTCTGACGCCAATTGATTCGGCTGAATCATTCAGCTAGTGTGTTCACCGCTTTTACTTACAACATCTCTGCAGCATGTATGCATGAACAGACAAATCTCCATACTTTCCAAAGTTTTCTGGTATATACATTTATTGTCGATAGTGTTTAACCAATGATCAGCTCGTTACTAGAAAATGTTCTGGTTTTTTTTTATTTAAACAATACTTTATTCACAGGATACCGAAACAAGCCAAAGGCTTATATAAATCGGCTTCCCAAAAGCAAGATACATAAATGATATAAACATATATTCATAATTATCAAAAACTTTATACCTCGAGGTTTATTTTTGTCTGTAAAAAGTGCTTTGGGTTTTTCAACTATTTCATTATCATCATCATCATCATCCATTATTTCCCCGTCCTCTGCCTCCTCCTCCACGCGACTACTCTTTGAATTCTTCACTTGTTCATATTCTTCATTTCTCTTGACAGCTCGATAGCGTCTCTTCCTAAAATACATTTTAAATTCAAAAACTTTAAACTAATAAATTACAATGTTTACATTACTTTGATGCCAAATAGCCTCAGTAAACCATATCTACTAAAATTGAGTTGAAATCGATCACATTGTTCGGGAGAGGAAGACAAAAATGTAGCAAAAAAAACAATCTGATTAAAACACAGATTCTATTTCGTTTCGTTTTTTATAGTTAAAATTTTAGTTTTATTTGTCTTTACTACACGTTGGATCTGGAAGAGTTGTTATATCATCCGCGTTCTGGTTGATGGGAGGGATTAGCCAATGAAAAGGTCTGTTGCAGCGAGTTCATGGTGTGCGATGCACGGAACTGTGCATAACCTACTAGAAACATCAACGCTGACTGGTTTATCAAATGTTCGAGTTCACAGGGTCAAAAGCCACTCACATGACCCCTGAGTGACACAACCTTCCACTACATCTGGTCAGATATTTATGTAGTAGTGATCTGTATTTTAATCAGATTGCAAAAAACCCCTCTAATTTTGACAATTTAATGCCTGCATGTTTGATAAATGATCTTTAATACACCAATTCACAAATACAGAAATCTTATGACCAAATGAAAAATCTGTGTGAATTTGAAAGAGACCTATAGTGTTCACAGAAAATTGTAGCTGGACAAGTGACAACAATATATTCATATTAAATGTGGCTATATAATCAACAGTTCTTTTTGTTATAATATACGGCTGTTTACTTCAAGTCACATTGGTCTAAATTTGTGCAGACTGTAGGGGTGATGATTTTCCGTGATCACAGAAAAAACGCAGAAATCACGGAATTTGAAATCTCACACGGAAAAAGACGGAAAAGCTGATATTTGTTGATACTAACCACAAACTCAAAACAATTTTGCAGTTATCCAAGTATTTCATCTTTTTATTCATAAAAATCGGAAATATTGAATGATATCGCATGGTTTTGTTACTGTCTATTTTAGTATTTAGCTACTATCATTTCATCATTTAGGAATCATAATTTTACTCGAAACGAAAACCCTGCTTTCAGGTATCCCTGTATACAATTACTCTGTAGTTGAACTTGAATTAAACATTGTAATGTATATATCTGTCTTAAAAAAAACTTCTGTCACTTCATAAAAGTAAAAATTGTTTCATTTACTTCTTATTTTCCTGCCGGGCTCGTGACTCGTGTTTATCCGCATTAACCATGTGACATCACAAATATGCCGTAGCCTTGTGAATCCAGCCCTTATTCTAGAAGAAACGGTAACTACGAAGATTTCTGTATAAATCGCGACTACAACTAGCAGCTGAGAAAAATGGCTTTGTCTGCTAAAAAGATGAAACAAGCTCACAAGATGTAATTTTCTGTTATTTAATTCGGGAAACAGGTTTAAAGAATAACTAGTCATTCCCAATTCAACATTTGTTATCATTGGTTCAAAATGATCCGTTTTGTAATAAAAGGCATTTTAAGATGTTTTATTCATTTATTCATAAAATAACATTTTATCTCGAAAAAACGGAATATGCTCAGCTCTGAAGCGGAAAATAACGGAATTCAAAATACTTAAAACGGAATTTGCTATTTTCTGAAACGGAAAATCATCACCCCTAAGACTGTGATTGGTAGACTTCAGATCAACCGACCAATCAACTGTGATACAGAGAAATTCTACAAAATTTTTTGAAAGACATTTTTTTTAGAGATTTGATTAGTCAATACTGATGTTACAGTGGGTTTTTTTTGTGAGTGATAAACTGAATAAATGAAACGAAAAAAAACATGTCTAAGTTTTTACTAGATTGACAAATTTTGTCATTTCTGTGTTAAGGATAAAAGTAACAATAATACATTCCTCACCTTGATCCACTTATTAAACCTTTCTGACCTGAAATAAATTATTACTCTTTACATTTGTTTTACAATATGATATGAAAATGGAAATGGAAATGGAAATGAAATGGAAATGAAATGGAAATGAAATGAAAATGAAAATGAAACGAAACAATTATTATTATTATTTATAGTGTGCCCTTTCATAAATAAACAACATGATTATGGACATGTTAACGATTGTATACAGAGTCAGTTAAAAGCCTGATTAAATAATTGTGTTTTAAGTTGTTTTTTAAAAGAATATAGAGATGTGCAACATCACAAACTTAATGGTAGATTATTCCATAGAACAGGGGCTTGAAAACTAAAAGAGAGACAGAGAAATGGAGATTAATGTCCACACGACACAAACTAGGTCATTTCGGGACTAACATATGGTTTAATTTTATTTCAATAATTCGCTTGGCATAAGGGGCTTTATCAGTGGGAGGAAACCAGAGAACCCGGAGGTAACCCACGAGGTTGGACAGGCGACCCTACTCCTTGTCACGTACAACTGAGGAATCGAAACCACGCCAGTTGACTCAATGACAGACCTTATAATACAGCGTGCACATGCTAACCATTCGGCCATCCAACCCCCCTGAAAACTAAAAGAATGCTGACCATAAGAGAATAATTGAACATTCAATGAACAGTTTTAGGGTTTAAAAATAGTTGATCTGATGTATGTAATGTTCAACCAGATATAGAAAGTTCGAAAAGATATGAGAGGTAAACAGGAGCTAAATTATTTAAACATTTAATAGTAAGTATTTAACCAGAAACCAGTGTAAATTATATAAAACTGGAGTTATGTGGTCACAATTAGTTTACCGTCCTACTTTTCTGCACCGAGTGGGTAAATGAAGACATGCGTAACCATGCAGTGTGCAATAAAATAAGGGAAATTTTGCCAGGACAGCGATGCTACTCTTATTTTAAATTCCAACTGTCAAGGGTTCTTTTATGTGCACTCCAAAGCATACATGGGACCTCAGTTTTTCGCTGAATGAACAGTTGGTGAGATAAATGTAACACCTTGATATGTGATGTTTGTTATAAAGTCATTTAACGACATTATCATTTGACAAATATATAAAAAAAAAACATTCATCAATTTTAAACAGTCAAGTACCATACTTACCACCATAATTGGGGTTTCCATATTTGACATAATATTTACTTTTATTCTCAGCACCAATAACTTTCTTATCAGCTGTAATAGAAAAAGCCAGTTATTACAACAATAGCCCTCTGTCCTGCACCACTAACAAGGGGAAACCACGCCGGAAAATCTAATCAACAAAATCGCCTAACAACTAACTTTATCAACCATGATAACATCACAACTTCATGTGACAATACCATTGTAGAAACACTAGAGATTAGTGGAGCCATCATTTAAAACTGTTATCTAAATAATTTACCTGAAAATATTACTCTAATGATCTAGTGGTAGAACTATAATTCATACGAGTGCCAGTTTAATCCTAACAATGGGATGATGTAGGTAGGCAAATTTACCAATCTGATTAAACTACAGATCTCTATTTCGTTTCGTTTTTTTATACTTTTGATGGCCTAGACTACATGAAGATCTGACCAGTTGTAGCGATAGTTCGCGTCAGACGTCATACGAGCGACTTTTGACCCTATGAAGTCAGACATTTGATTAACGAATCAGCATTGATGTTACTAGTGGATTACCCACAGTACTGTGCAAAACACGCCTAAATCTCGCAGTAACAGACAGTTTCATTGGTTAATTCCTCACACCATTCAGAACATGTCAATGATAATAACTCTTCCAGATCCTAGTGTAGTAAAGACAAGTGAAACAAAATTTTGAACAATAAAAACGAAACAAAATAGGATCTGTGTTTTAATCAGATTGCAAATTTACAAGATGGTACAACAATTACATCAGACAATCCAACATACCTTTGGTGGCATATCTTAGAAAGATAAATTTTGATTTCGGATGTGGATTACCAAACCGCCATTTTCCAGGAGGCCATCTTATTTCATTTCTTTTTCTGTGATTTTTCTCCTCTTTCTTTATTTCTTCCTCTTTTATATTTTCCTATTTAAAACAATTCCAGTACCTTAATTTATTGCTTATAATTAACTGATGGCAAATATTTCTGGACTGAATTGAATAAAGTGAATTGAAATTGGGTTCAATGTCTTACTTTTCTGCACGAACTGGACTAACAGAGGCACTATGGCTGACCAATAAATCGATTTCTAATTGTCGGGAGATTCTTAACATGCAATGGAACCTCAGTTTTCCATCCTATCCAAGAAACTAGATACATATTCAGTACAATTTGAAATTTTAAATGATTACTTGATAACTCATTAATCCTAATAATTGAGATGAGCTGAGATATATATCTTTCTAAACATGCAATGGGATAGTTCTCCATCCTATCCAACAAACAAGATGTATATTCAGTGCAATTTGAAATTTTGAATGATTACTTGATAACCCGTCGTCCCCTTGTCAGTGATGCAGGACGGAGGGCCTGACAAGGACAGCTGTCTAGTTGTTCGAATGGGACGAAAAACCGAGGTCCCATGTACACATTGGCGTGCACGTAAAAGATCCCTTGGCAGTTGGAATTTGATATAAGAGTAGGCCGGTGCCCGGGAAAAATTTCCCTCATAGCACACTGTATGGCGTATGCCCCTCAATCCTAATATTTGAGATGAGCTGAGATATATATCTTCCGTACCATTGTAAGCATATCGCTGTCTATTAATGTTTAATAAACATTTATGGTTTAATTTTTACAGTTTTTAATACAATCTGTATACAAAATTGCTATGCAGTCGTGGGACTTGCGTAGCAAAAGCATTATGCAAATTATCAAGATTTTGGATCACAATTTTTGTAATCTGTTTATAACAATGGGCAAAATACAATGAGATACTAGCTATCCCAACACAGGTATCAGTAGTAACATGAAAAATCTTTTTCAAAAAAAAAATAACATAAAGCTGCGGCTAAGTATTATGTCTAAACTCTAGTACTATTACGTCATGTTTCTAAGCAAGATTACAAAATTCTGGGACAAATAATTCATCATACGAATCTCTATCTGTAGATATTATATAGAAAGCAACCTTCCTTCATTATTACATTACATATCTTACTTCATTATTACATTACATATCTTATTTCATTATTACATTACATATCTTACTTCATTTGATGAAGAACCATGATCCATAGATACAGATTTTGTTTCCTCATCAGTTTTGTCGAGCTTTATTTCAGAGTCTTTATCTTCTTTATCTTTCTGCGTTATTGGTGACTCGTCATCGCTAGCAGCATCTAAATCTAAATCATCGTCGTCAACTTCCATTTTTACTTCTTTTTTCACATCAGTATCAACAGTTTCACTTTCCTTCTCAACCATTTCAGTATCTGTTTTAACTTTCTCTAGTAGAGTATAAAAAAGTATAATAAATAATCCAACATTATTTAGCTGATTTGAAGAAAACAGTTTTTATATTCTAACAAAAATGTAGACAAGGGCTCCATGGACAACCTTTAACAAAAATGTCTAGGTGTGCTAGTGACATCATCAACAATTTCTGATCTATCATTGTGTTATTTCCAAATTATCTTTTACTTAAGTTTCTACTCTTTCTAATGTCAAATGCCAATGACATGGCAAACACAATCTTCAATTTAGTGTGGTATTAAAACATACATTATGCAAGCGCTAAAACTGCCACTTGCAGGTCTTTCTTTAGGCCTGAAATGTTATATAAATTATTAATCAGACATTAATTAACTTATCCAGACCATAATCAACTCTAGACGCCATCATTAGCCGGAGATATTTACTGGATTTGAATACATTTTGTGACGGATAATTTAACGTCAAAATGGATAATCAAGACTTTGTTTTTTATTGTACCGACTTTAATAATGATAATCGAGGCTAGGCCTAAAATTCAATTGCTAATATCTCGGTTCAGAGTGAAGCAATTTGACAGACATTTTCAGCATATTCTATTTACATCATCTATTTTTTAACTAAAAAGCTGATTCTAGTAAGTATTATCTGTTATTAAAATATGGAAACAGTCGGACCATCTCCTTTTATTAAGACAGTCCTTTTGTGCCTGTTCATACTTTCCAAAATGGAAAATATAAAACCAAATTAATACCAAAATTATGAATGACTTGACATTTCTCGGCTTCCATAACATTTAGGGATTTAAAAATATTGATATGACGCAAAAAAGTGTTTATGTAAATATCTATGCAATGCCGCCAGATATTGATCAACATCACTGCTGACGATGAAACATAATATATAAATCCCTAAGAATTCAGTGCTGATAACAACTGAAAATGTAGCCAGGTAAAATAGCCAGTTATAGGTTGACAGGGCATTTGTAGGCCGATTACCTACATGGAACCAATAATCGACTGAACACTACAACTGCCAATACAGTGCTGTATTCATTTATTTTTTGGTAATCAGTAAATAATAAATGATGAAAAAGATATAACATCCTAAAATTTTGCCCACTCACTTCTCTTGAAGATTTTTAGATGAAAAACTAAATACTTAATTTTTAAATGATGACCATATGCCAATCCACCATAGTTACATTACAATATTTTCTGGGTGTAATAATATCATGTTTCACCTTATGTGACATTTTATATTTTGAATAAAAAAAATTACCTTCAACATTTGATTTTTTTTTCTTTTCTTTTTCATTTATTTTTTCTTCTTCTTCAGCCATGACAGTATCATAATCCCGACTTAACGATGACATGGCTCTAGCAGCCGTCACAGGATCAAACCAAACAACGTTACCTAGTAATTATTAACAAGTAAAATAAATAAGATCAATTTTTTATTTGAACTTTGCCCACAGTCTTTGAGAAAAAGAGATGCCATACTAAAAGATATGATAGCATTGTAAACATCACTAATGCATTCTTTAATTAAGGATAGCTCTGGTACCTACATGTAGAATTCGTCTAAAAGTTAACCTATGTAGCTGAAGTCATTGTCTAGATATTATGGCATCTTCCTCAATATGAATGCCCTTTTTGATTAATGTTACATCAGAATATAGAAAAAGATGGATCATCAACTTAAAGTGTCAATGACTGTTTTAGGTTGACACAGTAGAATAATTATTTGGTAGCTTTCCATTTCTAACTTGATATATAAAACAAAAGTTTGAATGTGAAAGTCTTACAGGATGAATCATCTATCCATTCTATTCCCCCTGGAGCAAATTCACCAAAATATTTATAGAGATCTTGGGTGCTCATTTCGTCTGTTCCTCGGATGTGTATAGCTTCAAGTCGTATTCCTCTTTCACCTTTATCAACATCTTCTTGTTTTAAACCAAGGCTGAAAAATATCAATTGTAACATACATAATTAGAGTAAAGCGGCTTTTACAACCAATCCATACAACCATCGAATTCAACACATAACTGGACGACTGTTTACACAATACAATGGTTCTATTTGATACAATGGTTCTATTCATTGTATGACAACATTTTTTTCTTCTTTGTAACTGGTGTACAAGTAATAAAACCATCACAGTTGGAATTTGAAAAAAAAAAAAAGTAGGTCTTGATGGTGCTGTCCTGGCAAAATTTCCCCCATAGCACACTGCATGAAGTATGCACGTCTTAATTAGAAAAGTAGGTGCAGAAAAGTAGGAAGTTTAACCCCATTCTATTTTGTAATCTATAAAATAAAGTATCAGTTAGTTGCCCAAATAAATTGACGCTATTTTCAACAGATGTGAACCACAACTTGGAATCATACATGATACTGTTATATATTTTTCCTGTACCATGGTATACAATGAAACTGATTTCTGAGTAAATATATTAACTTAATTTTTTTAGTATTTTTTAAACAGAACTTTTATTCCACCATATATTAGTCTGTTAAAAATAATAGTGCACCTTTTAGGTCAGCAGTGTCGTTAACATGCTGTGATTAATAGAAGAAATCGATTTTCTATTTCTGTTGTTTAAATTTTAAGAAGCCACTCAGCCTCAAAAAGGCATTTCTTCAGATCACATTACTTTCAATGGGCATTTCTTCAATTCACAATAATTTCTTTATCTATTTCTTGTTTTTCAGTACACAGAAAAATGTCCAGTTGGAATATTACAAAGTGTGTCCCCTGCTACATGTACATACCTTTTCAGAAGAGCTGACTGATCTAACGGTTTATTTTCAACAACAGGCAAACCAAACCTCTTAGCTCTTTCATCTTTCTTCTCTATAGCCTCCTGTAAAACACAAATACATTTTGATAACTTTTATGCAAATAGGAAAGTTTCTAAAAGCCTACATCCACACTCCCCATAAACTATATACATGTATTCTATAATCATAAACTATAAATAATAATTTTATGCTGTCTCAAGTTTAATTGTGCACCCAGATTGGCTCGATACTTTACTGTTTTTAGTTACAAAATAAGTGATGTAAATCCTGACATTTCTACAAATAAAATGACAGGCCTGCCTACTCAGTACACCTAATAAATAATATCGTTTCAAAAAAGAAAACACTGAATCAACTAATTATAGTTTTGTTCAATCTGATTAAAACAAAGATCCTATTTCGTTTCATTTTTTTATGGATCAAAATTTTGTTTTTCTTGTCTTTACTACACTAGCTATGATCTGGAAGAGTTGTTACGCCGTATTTAACCTGCTTTCTGTTTGATGTGACCGATTGCCAAATGAAATGGGTCTGTTACGGTGAATTCTTGGTGTGGTGTGCACAGAACTATGGATATTTCACTAGAAACATCAAAGCTGAATGATTAATCAAATGTCTGAAGTCATAGTTTCAAAAGTCGCTCGTATGACCCCTGATGCAAACTTCCAATACAACCGGTCAGATCTTCACGTAGTAGAGGCCATCGAAAGTATAAAAAAACAAAACGAAATATAGATCTGTATTTTAATCAGATTGAGTTTTGTTTGGATCGATTTGGATCCATAAGAGAGAGAGAGAGAGAAATGGGGTTTAACGTCCACTCGACACAAACTAGGTCATTTCGGGACTAACATATGGTTTAATTTTATTTCAAGAATTCACATGCGTGTAGGGGTCTTTAGCTGTGGGAGGAAACTGGAGGACCCAGAGAAAACCCACGAGGTTTGACAGGCGACCCTACTCCTTGCCACGTACAACAGGGGGATTCGAAACCACGCCAGTTGACTCAATGACAGGCTTTATGATACAGCGCGCGCACGCTAACCATTCAGCCATCCAACCCCCCTGGATCCATAAGTCATTAAATGAAATTATCAAAAGAATGAGTTAATCACCATTCGATTAAAAAATTACATTTCAGATAAAAGTGGGGATTAGCCATTACCTTAGATGTTAAATCAAGTCCTGTTACAAAATTACCAGTTTTATTTTCATATCTTTTCGTAACCTGAAAAAATATATAAAAGACTATTGTAATTGTCAATCTAATAATGTAGAATGGTAGAGTTCACAAGATAATAATCTGACAGAATACATGTACATGTATTTCAATTCTTTAAATCAATGTGTTAATTCCCATAAAACCAGCTGAGTTTTCAGACTTTACTGTGAGTATAGTTAATAATTCTATGAGTACATGTTACGGGTGTCGCGGCTTGGCTTGATACATGTACCTTGCACATGGGATTTGAGTGAAACCATAGACCTGGATATGTATATTATTAATACATGCCGTAGCTGTATAAATGTACCTAATAATATCATTAGATCTTTCAAATATTACAGTTGTAAAAAATCTATTATTGACGATTCTGAATAGCAGTAATTAACTTTTTGTCATTACAGCAGCTTTACCGTTAGGAACGTCATTTTTTGTTTTAGTACAAATAATACCTCTGAAACACTCAGGTTAGGCAAGAACATGATACTAGCAGTAGTTTCATTTTACTTTTACAAGGTTCTTAAAACAATTGTTGAGTTGCCTAATTAACATGTGTGTTTCTAAATTCAATTTCTTCTTCCAGCTTTCTGTTATGTTTCGTAAAAAAAGTAGTCTTGATTATCATGGCCTGTCAATCAGACATATAATGGTTGGTAGACTGGTTAAGCGAGACTAATTTCAAAACAAGGGCATCTAACCTATTTTTAACTCAAAAGTGCCTGGATGTTATGGCCAACACTCGTAGCCATTTTTCAGGCACAATACTAGATCTTGGCCGATCTGGAAGATATCTTTCTACAATTCTTGGGTTAGGTTTACAATTTACATGATTATTACATGTCAAACGTTTTAAAATTGAAGCTCTGTAAAAACGGTGGAATTGTCGGTAAAACTATACTGAAGGGTTAGGGTTAGAATTGTGGGTATAAACATGGAAGGATATTTTCCAAATCGACCAAGATCCAGTATCATGCATTTTTCAGTCTATTATTTATGGATGATTAAATGGTCATATCATGACCGTTATAACTTTAACTTATAGTGACTATTATCAATGAGCTTGAATATAAATATTGAAATAGTCACTATAATCTAGTAAATTTGTAGAATAACACATATTAGAACTATTGACCTCGTGTTTTTTAGATTCACTGTCTTTCTTTGTTAACCCAGTAATTTTGACATTAAATTCTACACTTTCTGTGTCACTTCTTTCGCTTTCTTGTTCACTATCACTCGACGACTCGCTGTCGCTTCCACTACTGCTGCTTGATGACGAAGAAACCACTTCTCTTGTGACAATGATTTTTTCACATATCGTTTCTCTGGCTCCCGGGACTTCTTCTTCTTCTGATATGTCGTCTTCACTCTCTAAATCTTCCGTGTTATCCACACAAATTTTAAGATTTGGAAGTTTTCCATTTTTTCCTCTTGACGCCATCTTTCTTTTATTTATAATACGCGAAGCTACTGGTAGATCAAGCAGGAAATTTGGACAAGCTTTGTTAAATAGAGTAGCCTCCCCGTGTACCAGTGGCAATCCTAAACGGTTCACCATTCATAATGTGTGTTTCACCCAAATTATTTCCACAAAGAGAGCTTAATTACAAGATGAAGAACATTTCTAAATGTTATCTATGCATAACAATGTTTATAAAAAATGGATGTTATAAACCCATGAATGGAAATTAAAAATAAAATGAAATTGATTGCGATCGATAAACCCTGTAGCCGAAGATTTCCGAATGTGATTTTTTTGTTTTGAATTTTTTCCATTTTTAGAAAACTTGCGTATCTGGACAACCTCGACTATTATCATTGTTTACAATATGGCTGACCTACGACGATGTTATTTTGGATAATAATATTTTCAATTCAAAACTCCATTCGCCAATTGATTTTTTGTTTGCTTTGAAATTTAGAGAGTAATGTAGTACATTATTATAATTACTCAACACAAAGAAAAGGTTACCTTTAAAGTATAAATGGTTAGAATTATTTTTTTATTAGCAATTTTCCTAATCATTTAGGCCTATTGCCCTATAATTTATTAGGAAAATTGCTAATAAAAAAATAATTTTAAATAAATTAAAAATAATGAAGTAGATCTACACCAGTACATTATTAATAATAAAATTAATAAATTTATATAATTATATTAAATATATAAATTAATTTTTATTTAGATCTGGTAGACCTATAGATAATACAATCAGATTGCTTATATTATAGTATTGATTGTCATATTGATTGATGATCATAAGAAAGATGTGTGGTAGCACGACATTTCGGTCCCACGTCAGTTTGACGATGGTTCAGACTTACTTGATGACTTTTCGGACAAAATCTGGCTATGTTTCGGACTCAGATTGATAATTAAAAGACTGTTGAAAATTTGTGTGATATAATATATAAATATAACAGCTGTTTTTGGGGGGGGGGGGGTTCGTTTTATGTGAGGCTGATAGTTAGTTGTTTTTTGTTTTAGTTATGATTGACAACTCATGTTTTTCCTCATCCAACAAAGAACTGTACCAAGTTTTTTTTGCACATACTACAATAACATCAGGATTATCGGTTAGGCTAATCAGCTTTAATTGTTGCCATTTCTATTATTGTGTTTGGCATGGTTCCTTTGCGTTAGATTAGACTTGAGTGAAAATCATCGCCCAGCTTCATACCGGTATTTGGTTTATGGAACCTAATGTTTGAGAATTGATTGAGCTTGATGTTTCATTTTTATTTTTTTATATTGTTGCATGAAGTGAAGCACTCTTCAAAAGGGGTTATCATGAACAGCCCAAGTGTTTATTACTAGTATTAAATTAGTTTGTGGGTATTCAGCTTTGAGCTGATATCCAGTGCAGTCTCATTTTAATACTTCTCAATTCAGGATTACATGTACGTACCGGTTTCTGATTTCTACTTCAGTCAGTAACAATAACTTAAATTTGAGTCACATCCAGAACTTGCGTGTAGATTTTACTATAAAATTATGTCTGGAATCTATTTAATCTAATCAATCACTGTCACATAATGTATAATTGGTGGAAGGCAACATTGAAGGTCTGTTTTGTACATAGCTTAACTATGGATAACTATACGTTGGTTAAAAGTCAACCATTCATTGTTTAAATTTAGCCAAATGTTCAGTAATAAACAGTACTTAATTATATATCCAAAGCATTGTGTCTTGTGTATATTCTTTATTTATCATGTAAATGTAACAGTGCTTCACATGCACAGTAAGTCAAATGTTTGTTTCTGTTTGTTTCAACTATAACATAATGGTTTATTTTTTTTCTTCTTTTAGAACAATGGAATGCCTAATGGACATACTTCACTTTTCAATTTTTGAAGATTTGATGACATACACTAAAATATTTCTTTGGAAATATCCTCGAGCTATAGCTGTCATCACAATCGTTGCAAGTATTGGTGTTTTACTAAAGACTAGATCAAGAAAGCAGCCTCCAGGTCCTTGGGGATGGCCATTTATTGGTCATCTCAAATATTTTAAAGATAAATATTATATCGGATTGTTCCGTTTAAAAGATAAATATGGTGATGTATATAAATTAAGACTGGGTAGTCAAGAGTTTATAGTAGTATGTTCGTTAGAAGGTATATTAGAGGCGTTAGTTGGGAGTGGTAAGGCATACTGTGGTAGACCAGATATAATATCTTATGATATATTATACAAAGGTGGACGACAGAGAGGTAAGATGTGTTTAGGACTATTCTATTTAAAATTATCTTGGTGGTGTGTAGTGAAATAGGAGGGTTGGTGGATGGCCGAATGGTTAGCATGTGTGCGCTGTATCATAAAGTCCTGTCATTGAGTCAACTGGCGTGGTTTTGATTCCCCAGTTGTACGTGACAAAGAGTAGGGTCGCCAATCCAACCTCGTGGGTTTCCTCCTGGTCCTCTGGTTTTCTCCCACTAATAAAGACCACTACACACAAGCAAATTATTGAAATAAAATTGAACCATAGTCCTGAAATGACCTAGTTTGTGTCCAGTGCGAGTGGATGTTAAATCGTAGTGAATGACGGAGAGCCTGACAGGAAACAGTGGCTAATCATTCAGAAAATATGGAAAATCAAGGTTCTGTGCACATATTGACGTGAATGTAAAATGACCCTTGACACTCGGAATTCGAAATAAGATTAGGCCATAGCACTGCTGTCAGAGCAAAATTTCCCCCATAGCATACTGCATGCATGTATGCTCCTCTTCATTAGTCCAGATGGAGCAAAAGAGTAGGACGTTAAACCTCAGATCATTTCATTTAATATATTTCTTGATAAAAATAATATTGCCTCTTTGTTATTATATGATCTTGAAATGAAACTTGTAGAAAGAAAATTTGTTCTATATTTTTAAGGGGTGGACACTGCAGATTTTCATGAAATGTTGAAAATCAAGAGAAGTTTTATTGACGCCAGTTTTGATGCCTATTGCTCGAACATAGAAACCATCGAAGATAAAATAACCATCGAAGTTCTTGAGGTCATGGATAGCTTTTTGGAAAAGAACGAACCCATTGATCCTTTTTTCATGCTGGAAGCTAGCTGTCTCAATATCACCATGATGTTAGTCTTTGGCGAAAGGTTGGATCCCCGGAAGAAGATAACAAGCGATTTGTTAACAATATTTCACGAGAGGTCATTGTTGAAAGCCTTCACTCCAGATGATTATATTCCACTCTTAAAAGCTTTCAAAACTGACGATCATCTAGATTACATTAAAGCAATCACTTCGAAACAAATAGAAAACCAGAGTAAATTAATTAATTTGCATAAAGACACTTATGATCCATCCAAATTACGCGATATGGTGGATCATTTGTTACTATTTATTGAATGTGGACAAGATTTGGCGTTATTAAATAAAGATGACATGGATTATTTATTGTTGGACTTAGTCAACTATGGCTACGAGGCCATTTCGGTGCTAGTCACATGGTTAATCGGTTATATGGCAGCAAATCCCGACATACAGGTCAATGTTCAGGAGGAGATTGATTCGGTCGTGGAGAGAGATCGACCACCATCTTTAAGAGATCATCCATTTCTACCATACACTACAGCTGTTATACTAGAAACACAAAGAATGGCATCTGTCTTTCCATTTCTTATTCCACATGTGGTTACAGAAAATAGAATTCTACAAGGTAATTGTTTCTATAAGTACTGTGCAATATCTTCTTATATACAAGAAGGGAACTGTGGTGGCTCAGTGAGTGAGATGTATGCTAGCTAACCTGGTGGTCCCGCGTTCGATCTTGGTGTTGGCCGAGAAAGTTTGTCGTGATTTTCCATTGTGTTTCCTCTTGTTAGTGTATAATCATTCATTCCATTTTTTGTAGAATTTTATTTATTCTCATGCAAGGCACAAGAGATCTGGTGAAGCTGAAGGTTATCAGCGCCATGTTGGGTATGTGGTTTTAGAAGAAGACTTGAATGTCCCACTTGAATCATGTGGCTTTTTTTTTCACTATGGAACATCAGAATATTTCATCATTTGCAGAGTTATCCCCCTTTTCCACTGTAAAGACTGATATTGCTACTAAAAAGGATTTTTCAAGGATATTTCTCATTGAAAGTTTTTGTGTGGATGGTTGACAAGTAAGTGAATCTGATCAGTCAGAAGGGATAGAAAACTAAGATCCTGTATCCAGTGCTGGTAAAAGATCTGTAACTTCTTTTGATGTTGTTTGTGATTTTTTTTTCCAGGTTATCCAATTAAAACTGGTACAACTGTTTTATTCCATATATGGAGTTTACATCATGATACAAGATATTGGAAAAATCCCATGAAATTTAATCCTAATAGGTAAATAAAACATTTTAACAAGCGGTTGCCATGCAAGATGTGCCCACATTTTCAAGAGATGGATGGAGAACAGGGAAAATCAAAAGGCCTCATCCTCTCTCCTTATCCCAATACTTCACATCGAATTTGAAAATAAGCATAATACGTCCACATGAAATTGTGGTTGTGGGTGTATAATAATGAAAATTCCATTGATTATTCATTATTTTGTCACTGGTTTTAATGCAAATGTTGCTTTGAGGCATATGACTGGCAAGCTGTCTTTAAAAACAATAGGACTGTGGTATGAAGAACTGCATTTATTTTTGTCAATTATCAACCGCCTTTCCATTTTATGTTCAATTTCATGAAATCTAAATACAGGATATGAGTTTTTAAAACTCGGTTGGATTGTTTCTTTACATTCTACGTAATTTTTTTTGGATTGAAAATGTCATTTGGTGAAGCTTTTGTTAATTTTTATACACCCATATTGAAATATTTTGGTATATGGGCATTGGCCCTATCCGTCAGTCCATACATCCATCATCAACACATTCTTCTGAACATTCTACATTCTTCTGAACATTCTACAGTCAATTAAATTACAACAATTTCCGGTAATTAGTGGGGGGTTGGATGGCTGAATGGTTAGCGTGCGCATGCTGTATCATAAAGTCTGTCATTGAGTCGACTGGCGTGGTTTCGAATCCCCGGTTGTACGTGACAAGGAGTAGGGTTGCCTGTCCAACCTCGTGGGTTTTCTCCGGGTCCTCCGGTTTCCTCCCACCGCTAAAGACCCCTACGCGCAAGCGAATTATTGAAATAAAATTAAACCATATGTTTGTCCCGAAATGACCTAGTTTGTGTCGAGTGGACGTTAAACACCATTTCTATCTCGCTTTCGGTAATTAGTTATGGAGTTATTGCCCCTTTTACAGTACAAAAATTTAGCTTTTTAGTCACCTAAAGAATCACAATGTGAAAATCCTTATGGAATCTTGGATGACTTTTAGCTGCTTTGGGAGTATAATTTAAACCTGTCTTTTGTATTTGTGTATTTCAGGTTTCTAAATGAAGACAAGGATTTAGTGATTCCAGATTATTATATGCCTTATGGTGCTGGTTTACGACAATGTGCTGGTGAAAGTTTAGCAGAGATTGAACTCTTCTTATTCTTCACCACAATAATGCAACAGTTGACCTTCACAGCAGAACAGTCACCTCTTATTCTTGAACCAGAATTCGATTTTCTTATCCGTCCCAAACCATTCCGAGTTAGTGTAACTGAAAGATAATTCACATTGTGTGATCTCCTTTCAACTTTGTGACACGGGTTTCCAATCTTCTCAATATAATAGATGATTTGTCATATCATATATTATATTCATATCCACTATGTTAACACATTTAAATATCAAGCACATCAAATACATGTATCAGAGCTTAGAGAATCAATAATACTGAGTGATGAAGACAATTTAACATTTTTTGGTCCAGTTCTGGAAGTCTCTAGATGGCATACATTACCTCAGTATCCAGACACGGAAGATACTGTGATGTTGTTACCTCCCTTTGCAGGTCATGTCTCTTGGACCTATTAATTGACTAACATTGCACAGTACTATACCCATATTTCCAGGCACAGAACATACTAAGTTGTTCTTACACCACAATTTTTCTTAATAAATGCTCTACACACTACAGTTCTTGTAATTTTTTCAAATCCACGACTGTTTATTTAATCTTATCGCATTTCACAAAGTTGTTATTGAAATATATTATTAGATTTGATCTGATTGTTACATTAGCACCACTCACAATATAAATTTAAAACTTTACATACCATCTTTACTTGATATAGGGCATTGTAGTCGAGGGTATCTTTCTGAACCATTATTCATTCAGCTGAATTCAAGGTTCATTAGTTTCTCAAAGTTTACTACTTGTGCAATTAACAGTTGTTTTTATTTATTTTTGATATATCGTGCAATATTTTGTTGTTTGTAATTTAGGCAACACAAATAAAATAACTTGTTTCTCGGGCACCGCCCGCACGCAAAATTGGTTGCGCGTGCAGTCTATTTATTAGTCTTGATGAAAAAAAATAAATATGTAACGCCCGCCCGCACATCGACAAGCAAGTCGTAAAAAAAATATCCCGCATGTACCTACATCCGCCATACATGTATATCTATTCAAATGTATTAAAACTGATTCAGATGAACATGCTGTCTTTTTTATCCGAACAATGGCGAAGTTTGGCAGATTTGCCTTTTTTATTGATATCGAAAGAACCTCCATTTTGTATCACGTGATATTAATTACCTCCCCTGATAAACTAGAATTTGATTCGTGTTAAAAGTCATTGGCGACAATATTTCAAATTGTCTGCGATATCACCTCGGTGGAAGCGGACGTTAAATAAAACTAACTCACACAAATATTTCAATCATTCGATCGTAATCGGCTCATTATTGCCGGCTTCAGTCGGTCCTTGTTTGGAAAATCCTATTGATAAAATAATGAACCGTAGAACAGGTTAATTAATTATAGCTAAGAATACGATACGATGACGATAGTCGTCATAATGCATACCTTAGAATCTGGGTCATTATAAGCACATTTACGGTAGTTTCGATAATCCGGAAAATAATAATTGGTTTACCGATTTGATGGTTTTACTGACCAGTTGTTAGTTAGATTTAAATAGTCATTCAATATAAACACCGGATAGAACACCGAATATCCTGAGAAACACACCGAATATCCCAAGAAACAGTATTTCCGGCAATCTCCAATACCGATGACACGGTGTGACATGCATTGGTTGGAATTCGGTAAATAATTATAAATAACCCGGCGACACTAGATTTAGTTTTAAATACTGTTTACCATGATTATTATTTTTGATACACCTGGTGAAAGAGGCTTAGTTTTTAAAAATATTGTTGTCTTTATGGAGGGCTATTACATAGTCGTATGGAATTTTATTTTAAACCAATTTCAATTATGTGAATTAAATATGGAAAATTATTTTCCTTTCAGTCAGTGTTCAGTCTCAGTGTTTTAGTAGACTTGATTTTGGGTTTATGTTTTAAGTATGTACAATAAAGTTGAATATAACGGAAAGCAAAAACGTAAACAAGTAATGACTTTCTCATTTTAAAAAAAAAAAAGAAAGACCGCCCTCCCGCCCCAACAATTTTCAGCAAAAGCCAAATTTTATTTTGCACCATCAATGAGTAAAAAAAAAAAAGAAACCGCCCTCCCTCCCTACAGTTTCAGCTGTCAGTTGCCCGAGAAACAAGACATTTATTTTGTGTGGCCTTATATTTTAAATTGTTTTATGGAGATCAATGGCATGTTTTATTTTACACCAGTGACATATTTTATTTATTTTACATTAAGAACTTATTATATTTATTGTACATTAAATGACATTTTTTAGATCAATGCAAAGTTTTTTTGGTTTATTTTAGATGAACTACATATTTGATTTAAGATCAGCGACATGTTTTATTCAAGATCAGCGACATGTTTTATTCAAGATCAATGACAACTTTTATTTAAGAGGAATTTGTGTTGTAATCGAAATTGCTGTAATTTGGAAAAAATGTCTGATTTCAAATATTGTTGCACCTTTGCATAGTCAGGCTCCACGCACACAACTTTAGTTTTTGCATCTTTTGGATATTCAACATATCTTTTTAGTTATTTGGCATTAAATTTTGAAATTTTACAAAAACTTTTATTTATGAATATTTTTGTACAACATTTTATATCAGGTTATAAGATGGCCTGAAGGTTCCAAACATATCAATCTGTAGTTCGTAAAGAGTTTGGGGCTTTTGCTACATTGTTTCTTATCTTGTGTGTCTAAAATGAATTTTATATGCTCTATGGTGCAAAGGTTAAATTAAAAAAAAAATTTATTGCCAAAAATGTCTTCAGTCGGCACCAATTTCTGACAAAAAAAGCACTTTTTATGTAAATGTAATTGATATATTTTTGGAAGCATCCTTAATTGTGCACAAAATGCAGAAGTTCTAGTTTTGAATTTTATTTTCGTCTTCCCGTTATATGATTTAAATGTGTAAAAAAATCACAAGATTGACTTTTTCGAAGGCGTATCACTTTTTTTTATATTTTAACCTTACCTTTCGTAAACATTTAGCATTAAAAAACAAGATCAAATTCAAAAGTAAATCAAAAATTTGTTTCTAATTTCAGCCATATCCAAACAAGAGACACTATTAACTGTCCCAAGCTTTAAAAGTAAAAATATGAACAGAAAGCTAACTTTTCAAAATGGACAATCCGAAAAATTTAGGCCACATCGACTGAAACATTTTTGGAACACCTAATAATATTTCGTGTCCTATTTTTTGGGGAAACTCAAATTTATTTTTTAAGACATCGAAGGGCTAATAATAATAGACCTTTTTATCGAGTTACCAAATCAATTTGAATTTAGTGGAGATGTATTTTAACAGTGATCTGTAAATAACCAAGCGAGTTGTTTTTCAATTATTGTGATATTTTTATGTCTGTCATTATCTGACAGAAACTTTTCCATATGTTCACATAGTCAGTTGTTATTGCATATTTTTTAAAAATATATTTAAGATATTAATTAATGAATTACCATACTGATATTGTGAGAAGATTGAATAATAAGATGTTGTGTGTTTGGTATGAAATGATACTCTACGATATCTCTTGAATCTTCACTCAGATTTCAGTTTATTTTCCTTTCTAAAATAGCACACCCTCTTTGACCTGGGTCAAAAATAAAAATGTTAATTTCACTAAATTTTTATGTGTTGATTTTGTTGACTCTAATATGGCTCTGGGTATGCCTGGTTTGGATGGGCTGTAAACCTGAGGTCCAGCAATTTATACAGCTTATAACTCGCCAATTCTAACTTTATACTTTATTTATTAATTCTATCCAGGTTATCGCCCTTATTAACTTTAAAAAAAAAAAAATTGACATCATCACTCACATCAACTGGCAGACTCGCCTTACAGAAAACAACCACCATCAAGACCATTCGCATTATATCTTTGAGTGAAGTCTGTATATACAGGCCCGGGATTGAAGGGTGCAGTGGACATTTATGGCTGGTCCCCGGATCCATTCACTTGAATTGATATTTGTTGTCTAATTCTTGCAAAGTATGTGTAGTTTTGTCCTTTCCACGGGTGTGTTTTATCGGGTTTATCTTGCGTGTAGTACGGATCTCCTGCACTTAATATTAAAATACATATACCTTAAAACGTTAAAAAAATTGTTATTTTGGGTACCTGTTGCAAAAAATTGTTATTTTGTGTACCTGTTTCAATAAATTGTGAATAACAAATAATAAGAGGACAAAACTGTAAAATGGATGGGGCCAGGATCCAGTAAAGTAATGAAAGGTAGTTATGTGGTAGTAAAGATGGAAATTATGTCCTCTACAATATTTCACAATTGTATTGCTAAAAAATACATCCATCTTTGTATCAATTAGATTCTGTTTAAACTGTTTCTATATAGAAAATAATATTCTGTTTACATATAAAGCTTTATTTACAAAGTAAAACTGACTGACATATTTGACCTTATTTCAATTCTCTTTCAATCATATATCCTATTTTAAACCAGTCAACAATAAAAATTGATTATAAATAGACACATTTTTTCAATAAGTTTCACTATTTACATCTCTTTGTGTTTTATTTCTTTTACATACATAATACAGTAAAAAGCATAACATAATCACAGCCACATGTGAATGGGGAAGAATTTTGGAGGCTGGGGGATCCCACTTTCCTGAAAAGATTTCTTCCGGTAATTCTATGTATGTACTTACATGTATGGAAGCTTTATGTACACTCCATGAAACAGGCCCTAGTATTTTTCAATTACCAACGAATTTTGTCAACATAAAAGCCCCTTGTGCAAACCAATTTGTATAGTAACTCTTGTTAACTAGCAGATATAGAACCAAAAGGTTTCTAAATAATAATAAAATAAGTATACCGTGAATTGCAGTCATTGATTGACCCACTGAAAAAAAGATTTCAGTTGTTTTATATAAGTAAAGAATATAAATGACTATTCCATATCTAATATATTTACAAGTGACGAATCAGCTAATGGCTTCTATATATAAGTGATACAAAATAAAACATGCATAATATTTACAAATAAATTGTTGACTAAATTATAAATGCCATACTAATGCCATACTAGTACTGATAAAGTTCCGTTTAAAATTAATCTTAAAAACTGTTAGAACTACAAAAATATGGAATGATTAATCAACACAACTTACAGCATAATTCTAGATAAGGAGTCTTTTAATTAGTGTTTAGCGAAGATTGTCATTATGGTTATAAACAAGATTTTAGGTGTTTTTACAAGATACCGATTATGGCTAATTGATTTGCAAATCCCATTCACTGCAAACATTAGTCTATTTGGTTTCACATAACCATCATATTTACGACAACGATTTAACAACTCGATTATGCAAATCTTTCCAATAGCTCGCCTGCTGGATTGATGATTCGATTTCGGTGATGGCGTCCCCCATGTTAGTACATTTTCTTTTGAACTTCATGTTAAAATAGACACACTATGGACATTCCTAATATGAATAAGGTGGGAACAGTCAACTGATACAACTTTTGGCTTTTATTTTTGGTCGGCGTCTTCAAGAACAGAAAAAAATTTTTTTTCAGATTTTTCATCAATTCTTCAGTTTTCAGCTATCGTGTGAGGAAACTCATCGTATTTATGAGAACTGATTCGAATACCAACACCAAACCTACATGTACACAACAAGATAGGTAATCGAAACCGATTACTTTTCTCGTAAAAACACCTTAGAACTAACCTTGTACACAATTCTATGGATAACTACTGAATTTACTTAAAGTGATATTTCAACAATGAATTAATCGTCTTTATCAAGCAAATGATAAAGCTTGATTTGTTTGTCATATACTAAATAATATATAAAGCAGCTGATCTATCTTTTCATGGCATATTATACGCTAAAAAATAATCAAAACAAAGGAAAAATATTTATGATAGACAATCAGATTAAAAAGTGGCTGATCAAAAGATTGAACCCAACACTAGATGATGCTGGTTTGTTTATACCTTCTGCAGAGGGTGGTGATTGTTGCAAAATGTCTTTATAATACATCTTTTGTAGCTAGCAAGGGATTCAAAATCCTAGATGATGATCAATTGTTTTAAATGACATATGAACAAGAGAGAGAGAGAAATGGGGTTTAACGTCCACTCGACACAAACTATGTCATTTCGAGACTAACATATGGTTCAATTTTATTTCCATAATTTGCATGCGCGTAGGGGTCTTTAGCAGTGGGAGGACACCGGACGAGAAAAACCACAAGGTTGGACAGGCGACCCTACTCCTTGTCACGTACAACCGGGGATTCAAAACAATGCCAGTTGACTCAATGACAGACTTTATGACACAGCGCGCAGTGCTAACCATTCAGCCATCCAACCCCCCCTTATGAACAAGAGATAGTATAAATGGTATAATGACACAACAACCGGTTATAATTTAGTATACTGAATGATATTACTTCATATATACAATTGTATTTTTGGTACATTATGACAAGACTTTTAATTATCCTCACCCATGCTCTAAGTCTACATATAAAATTCAATGTATTCATTTATCAAATTGAACATAATATAATAATAAATTTATGGTCATTATAATATAATGAATTGATGGTCAGCTACTTTTATCACTCTGTATTACTCTTCTTAACATCTTATTCTTAGTTGTGTCCATGCACCAAGGGATCACAGAGGTAAATTGAGCTTTTTTGCATTTTTGTTCAAAATCAATAAAACTATACCAATTAAGTTTTTAAATTCTGCTATTCTGGAATTAATTACGATTAAAAATGAGACAAGCTCCATTCACAATGAGGCCATTGATGTTCTGCTGGACTGGTATAGTGGAAAGTTAAGTTACATCATTTTGTTCAGACCACTATATACTAATCAAGTTCTACTGTTCATACTCCTATATGTGTTAAACCCTGTTATTTACAGTTTGAGTGCCGAGGTACTTATTTTCAACCATTTCGTAACAGGAAACTTTTATGCACATCATTGTTGTTAAAATATCCAAAATAAACATTGATACGACTTTGAAACTGTATCGAAATGCCAATCTACACATTTATCCAACATAACCGTGAATATTGCATTAAATATTTATAAAGTAGGCGTGTCTGGTGGTGAAACTGTTTCGTCGGATTCACGGCGCATTTTACTTGGAGATTCTTCATTTATGTCTAATGCTCTCTTCTTACCAGGCTGAAAATATATTAAAATAATATCAAGAATTGTTTCTCTTATTGTTGAACATGGGCATATTTCTGGCAAGAGTAGTAAAGTTTGATATTTTTGTATTATAAGGGACAATTTTTGTCTGTTTCATAAAAGGAACATAAGGCAATAAATGCAGGCAATTTTTATGGCATTTATAAATAATAAACTGAAAATTTGAGCTCCTAAAATTAAGTAGTAATTATTGTTATCTAAAGATACAGAAAGACTTTTTGAAAGAAAAAAACCCCACGATTACTTGATAATGAACAAGCTATCACCTTGGATGCCATATTTGAATACAACAGTAGCTAATTATTATATAGTTCAAGACCAGTTTCACATAGTAAATTTATGTGTTGATAAAAATTCATTAAACTGTGAAGTGTTAATTATTGGACTTTTGACAGAATTTTATTAATCGGTTTCCAGCCTAAAACTTTTTATGAGGGCATTTAACTTTCCTGGGTCTGGGAGTCTTGATTTACAAATATTTTAGAAAATCATTAAATGTTATCTTGCTTTAAATTATTTTACTGAAATGTAACAAACAGTGGGTTTTATCTTCATAAATCTCCCATGAACCATGTCATAGTATTTAACAACATATAATGTTTCTCTTAACCAAAATTCTGAATCCATTTTTTATATCAATAATTCACTTGCATGAAGGGCTCTTTAGCTGTGGGAGGATACCAGACTACCTGGAGAAAACCCACGAGGATTGACATAGGCAACCCTACTCCTTGTCATGTATGAGTTGTGATTTGGCCTCCATTGCCTGGGAACTTTAAAATCTTTAGACTTCATTGTGATCATTAAAAAGCCTTGGGTAAAACAGACTTCATCAGTGTTCAATACTAACAACAATAACCATATTAAGTTATTTTAATAACCTGTGAGCGCCCTGATTTGTGTTAGAAATTTAACAAAGTGCAATTCTGTGCTGAAAGAATGCAACAATAAGTACAATACTTTAAGTATTTTTGGATAAAAAGAATTTGTGAAAAGTGAAAAATAAACATATTCATGAAATATTAATTCTATATCGTGTCACCTTTTTCGTTGGAGAACTTCCAATCTAGGAAATAAAATTGTTAAAATTTATTTTTTAATAAAAGTAACCGTACAAAAACGTCACGGTATGGTACAAAGAATGTTTAGTATAAAAAATCTTCTCTGAATGAGACATCATGCCAGTCACTTCACTAAATCACTGATTTATAAACTTGAATTTTTATTTTTAGATTCCCAGGGCCTGGATGTGTTAATATATATCACCTTCTTGAAACAATAAAAGTCAACTTACTACATGAGATAAACTCGGTGGTACCATGCCATCTGCTTGTGGGTACATCAATTTATTCGCTTTGGTCTTCATTTCATCATCCTGAAGATATAAAATTGATTAAAGTACTTCAATAAATAATTAGTACAAACAAATTCTACAAGCATCCTGATCACAGGTCGATCAGTTTTCTTATAGAATCTCAATAAAACGAGCGCAAACAGGAACTGACATCTAATAGGGTACTTTTCTGTATAAGTATATACAATGTTTCAAATAGATTACACAATTTGTAATGACAAGCAACACTAGTGCTACTACAATAGGGGATTAAGTTAGCTTCTACTTTGTGTTTCAACCACAAAATCACAACCAAATTCATGGCTAAGTTTGATATGATAGAGGGACAGGAATGGGTCCACAGTCTTGCCAAAATTGAACTGACATCCATTCTAACCTATTTTCTGGACCATGAGGAGATGCGCAGGGAAGCCTTGACTGGCCAAGATTGTGAACTCTAAAGATTTTGACCCTCAGGTGATAAGTGCTCTCTCTCATCTGTTTGCCCTTTACAACTGTATGGAAAAGACGGAGAATTTCTACTTGAATTCAGTGATTTTAGCCTCCATAAAGAATAAATTTCAGTGCCCATCTTTACAATTTTTTTTTTTTTTGATACTCAAATTAATAATTACCTTAAACCAGGGATGTTGTAGAGCGTCACCAATAGTTATACGTTTTTTAGGATCAACTGTCATCAATTTTTTTATCAAATCAATAGCTGAAATAAAGTACATGAACAGCATACAAAATAAGTTGGATTTTAGGCATTTCATGATTCTTTTATGTAATGGGCCTAGTTAAATTAAATTAATTTGGTGGTAAAGAGTCAGTTTGACACTTTGATGCAATTAGGAGTAACTCAAAGTAATTTGGTGGAAAAGGTATCGAGTCCGTTTTTTTTTATACTCTACTATATTCTAGTACAAAGAATATAAATCTATAAAGCAGGTACCAGTAATGTATTTGCACTCAAATGGAAAATGTTCTGATAACAAATAAAACATTTTTCTCTGATTCTATTAATCTCAAAATCCCAAATGGAAAATGTTGTGATATTAATCTCAAAATGAATTGTCTTATGAGAAGTTTCATTACCCTGTTCTGAGATATTATCCCAATATTTTTTAGGGAAACTGTAATGGCCACCCATAATCTGTTTAGGTAAATCAATATCTTTTATTTCATCAGAAAATGGTGGATATCCAGAGAGACTGAAATATATATTACATAAAATATATATCAATAAAATATGAATGTCTCCACGAAAACATTAAAGAAGAGGGCACTTATTAGCAATCATTTTATAAAATGTCTGGAAATGAAATGGGGTTTAACATCTTACTTTTCTGCACCGACATACAGTCAGTGCTATGAGGGAACTTTTGTCTGTTCAGCAGCACTACAGCCTACTTTCATTTTGAATTTCAACTGTCAAGGGTTCTTTTACATGCACGCAGGACCTTGGTTTTACGTCCCATCCGAAAGACTGGACACTGTCCTTGCTAGGCCCTGCACCACTGACAAGGGTAGATCTAAAGACATGTTAAGGAAAAGCACATTCTGGAACTGCCCTTGATAGATAGCAAGTCAAATATATCGATAAACAAAGCCTTTCAAAACAATTCACAGGTTTTGATTGTAAGGATGACATGTTATACAGAAATGTCTTTAGATCAAGAGCATTTTAATAATACTGATTAATTTAGACTCATGTTTTTATTTTGCTGACAGTTATACAACAGTACAATCTGACAACTGTAATTTTATGTCTAATAAACCAGGTCTGACCTACTATCAATGAAGTATTTACCAGATAAATAAAATAACACCTAAACTCCAGCAATCTATAGCTTTAGTGTAGGTTCCACTGCCAGCAGTCACCAAAATTTCTGGAGCTAAATAAGTTGGTGTTCCACAAAATGTCTTCATTAAAGTTCCACCATCAACAAACTTAGACAAACCAAAATCTGTCACCTAAAAATTCAATTGGAATGAATGAAATTGGGTTTAACGTTCAATTTTATTTCAATAATTTGAGGTAAATAGTATTCCATTTCCTATTCAAAACTTTCTGATATTGACAGAAACACAGTTTCAAACAACCGTCTTTACTAAATTAAATACAGCAACTGCCTTGAACTGAGTATGGACACAAACTTACTGATACTCAACCAGAAATTATAATACACTTACTTTGATTAAAGTTTCGTTATTTTCTCCACTCAGAAGAATATTTTCTGGCTGTGGAAAAACAGTACAATAAAAACTTATATAAGCTAGATGTCATCAATTTGACATTTACATCAATTCTGTGTTGATGCAATAATATATATTTGTCAAAAACGTAATGACATAATTCAAATAAGATTTATACAAGACAAAAACAAAACGTTTCTATGTTTAAAGGGTAGTTTTAAAAAAAAAAATAATAAAAATATATAAATCTTACTTTTAAGTCTCTGTGTGTGATTCCTTGATCATGTAAATACTGAAATAAGAAAATGGTGTAAAGTATAATTCACCTTATGATTAACTATCTGTGTCGATTTTTACTTTAATGCATATATTTGTCTTTGCTTTTTATTTACATTCATCATTATCATCATTATATTAAATAGTTCCTTTTATCCCCATCATCATAAGAATACTATAGTTATGTAGTTGCTTGTGTATGTAATCTGATTAAAACACAGATCCTATTTCGTTTCATTTTTAATAATTCAAAATTTTGTTTTACTTGTCTTTACTACACTGGGATCTAGAAGAGTTGTTATTTAACCTGCGTTCTGGATGATGTGAGGGATTAGCAAATAAAACGGAACTGTGGGTAACCCACTAGAAACATCAACACTGATTGGTTAATCAAATGACTGACGTGATAAGGTAAAAAGTCGATTGTATGACAACTGATGCGACCTTCCCCTACAACCGGTCGGATCTTTATGTAGTAGAGGCCATCGAAACTATAAAAAAAATGAAACGAAATATAGATCTTTATTTTAATCAAGATTGTTGTATATGAGAAGAGTAGCTTTACCTTGATAGCCACAACCATCTGATAAAATAATAATTTAGCTACAGGTTCACTGAACTGACTAACACTGACAACACGATCAAATAATTCACCTCCTTCAACACTGTAAAATAATATAATTATACATCTCTAATCATTGAAATCTGTATATGAATATGCCTTATGTACATAAACATATAACATATATTTTTAAGGGTGCAGCTTTTTCATTGACGTAAGAGTTAAAATCCTAGTTGAAATGATGAGGCTGCATCCTTAAAGATATTTTAGTTTAAATATTAATAAATTAAGAGCCTAGATCTCTAACATTTAAATTTGTTAAAACACATTATTTTTAAGCTATCAAATAAATATTAGATTTGTTAATTGGACATTTTAAATTACAAACAATGATTGGCAAAATAATCCAAATAGGATCTCATGTATGAAATATTATATTATACAGGATTATGGAGTCCTTGTTAAACATTTATTGCATTACGGAACAATCAAAGTTTAAAAGAAGGACTTCCTGTTTCTGGTATGAGACACAGAAAGAGTTGTTGATAATGTTCTTTAAGCTACTAACTATCCCATACATAGACAGGAAGTATAAATGATATATATTTAACTTACAGCTCTAATACTATATACAATACATCTGGCGTATCTATAACATCTTCTATTCGTATAATACATGGCTGGAACAAAATAAAATGTTAATTGGGCGTAAGTACAGTGTAGCATATAGATTGGGGTACATGGTATCGAAATATATGAGGTCTTATTAATCTTTTATCTTTGTTTTTTGCCAAAAATATATCTATGCAAAACAAAAATTCAATCATATAAATAAAATCTGATTACCCATAGTATACTTACATGTTTTAATGCCTTAAGAATCTTGACTTCTGTCATTACTTGGGATGCTAAACTCTGAAAAATACAGTTTATATCTATATAAATTGTTCACTTTTACAGTACTAGACCTTTTGTAGAAAACATTCATAATTGTTCATAATAAGAAGAGCATTAATGGGAACTATTTCTCAAAACAGGTTCCACTATTGGAATTCATCTAATAATATGAATTAAAATACAGATGTGACATCATCCATTGATGATGGCTTATCATTATATCATTATATCAAATAATGGTACAGACAATGTTCCAAGCATATATCATATATACTAGTTGAAATTTTGGACCCGCATGACATATTTCATTGCAAAGCATGTGCGAGTGTCTGTATTTGAAGCTGTTTAATGGTCTCGAGATTAAGACATTGTGTAATATATTGAAACAACACTTGGAACTAATGTCTCTCATGTTGTTTCAATATATTACTTAATGTCTTGCTCTCACCCATTAAACCACACATTACAACTGAAAAGTTCTGAATAAAATCCTTTTTAACTACTATAACAAAATTAATTTACTTACAATTTGTGAATTTCCTCCCACTGAAAACTTCTTTTTCGAGATAATTTTACAGGCATATTTTTCACACGAACCTTTTGTAAATGCCAACCTGACTTCTCCACAAGCACCTCTATAAATAAAATCAAAGTAGGAGTAGCCACAGAAACCTTCTAGTGCTATCTACCAGCTAATATAAATCTGATAGATTTCTCAAGGATTGCACCTCTGCGTATACATGAAGTCACTATTAAAACCTTATCCTTCCAATCTTGTATCTATAAAAATCATAAGTAACTCATTTCTATCAATAAAGGACAAATAGTATTTAACCCATACTTAATATTCAAAGTAAATGAACACCTAAAGGAACACTTTTCAAGTCCTTACTAAAATGGGGACAACGTTCAATTTAGTCTTGTACTGCACCCTTTATAACATGTACTATTATATATAGATTTTACATTATAAAACTGTTGGTTCGTACCTGCCTAAAACTTTAGTTAGTGTATATTTATCTGTTAGCTCTGAAGGTAAATCTTTATCCTCATTACAGTCTAAATCCATAAAAACATAAGCTGAAAAATAATAATATAAAATATCAATTAAACTTAAAATTATCTACTTGTAATTAGAAAATCTGTGAGAGTGGAAAAAAGAACTAGAAGACTGCTTGCAAGAGAAATTTTAAAAACCTGCATATTAATTCAAAATTTTATCTGAACCAGCGGCTGCCAGGCAGGATACGCCCACATTTTGCAAGAGATGGATAGAGAACAAGCTAAAAACAAACAGGATTTTTTGTACAATCAGGGGCAATAATCCAGAAAGTTATGGTCTGAAATGCACAAATATCAAAAGGGACTGAGATCTTTGGGATATAAAGATATGTTTTAAGTTTCATCAAAATCGGATAAAAATTGTGACCTCTAGAGGGTCCACAACCTTCGTATTGCATACTTTTACACAATTTTCGTATAAAGAGCGGCCATTTTCTCGGGCAGTTTCATTTCGATTTTCCCGAAATTTAAATCCAACCTTCATTATGGTGGTATGGTGATATATTTAAACGGTTTTTAAAATCCAAACTCAATCAAAATTATGGTATAACGGTGATATATTCAAATGTTTTTTTAAATCGAATAATAGTTGTGACCTTGACTAGAGGGATCACAAGCTAAAAACGTGATTTTTCGTACAATCAAGGGCCATAATTCAGGAAGTTATGATCCGATATGCGCGAATATCGAAAGGAACCAATATCTTTGGGTTATTAAGATGTATTTCAAGTTTCATCAAAATCAGATCAAAATTGTGACCTCTAGCGGGTTTACAACATTAATATACCATATTTTTACGCTGTTTGAGTACAAGGGGCGGCCATTTTGTCTGTCAGTTTTGGTCCGATTTTTACGAAATTCGAACTCAACCATCCTTAGGGTGTAACGGTGATATATTCAAGCGTATTTTTAAATCGGATAAAAATTATGACCTCTATAGGTTCCACAAGCTAAAAACAAGATTTTTCGTACAATCAGGGGCCATAATTCAGAAAGTTACATTCCGATATGCGCCAATATCGAAAGGAACCAAGATCTTTGGATTATAAACTTACATTTCAAATATCAACAAAATCAGATAAAAATTGTGACCTCTATAGGGGTCCACAAGCTAAAAACGTGATTTTTCGTACAATCAGGGGCCATAATCCATGAAGTTCCGATACATGCCAATATCGAAAGGAACCAAGATCTTAGGGAGATAAACATATATTTCAAGTTTCATTGAAATCGGATAAAAATTGTGACCTGTAGAGTGTCCACAAACAATTGTGGACGGACAGACATCCGGACGGAAAGGGGCGACGACAATATACGTCCACATAAAAATGTGGGCGTATAAAAACACATTATGCTAGATCTATAACATTTTAAGCATTAATGAACTGCATTATGCTAGGTTCTCACCATCATGATTTGCGCTACGATAAAAATTGTGGTTTTAATTGTGGTGATCCTATCAGGTCTTACCATATATTGAGGTCAGTCGTATCAATCGTGTTGATTGTACCGAAACATATCCGAATGTATCTGTACATAGCAGATCGTGGATCCAATATGGACAATCCTATCATAACTCATTGCACGAGAGTGGAAACCTGGCATTAAGAAAATACTATGCTTGTGAAAGTTACTAATTCATTCAAAATGCTTTTCCTAACATTACCAATATAAACTTTTTAAATGCATTCAAAGGCATTTAGTAAATGAATGGGAAATACATATAGGAGACAGTTCTATGGAATACAATTACTGAACGAGACATGTCATTGTATTCAATAGAATTGTGTCCTGTGTAGGCTATAAATGCCTTAATTTAGTTAATCCTAGAGACTATACTCTATTGTTATATACTGAGCGCCATGGAAAACGCATCAGTTTTTTTCCCCAAATATTTTATTACTAGGTGGTTTTGTATGTATAATATTATGCAATACTATGAACTATTGTTTCACACAATGCTCCCAAACGCAAAAAATATCGGCCCGTGTGCACAAAAAAAAAATTGCACGAGATGCACGTGAAAAACCCAATATTCACGTGCAGCATTGTGTGTGAGCCCTTTAAAAGCATGTTTTCAACTTAATGTGCAGTACATGAACTGTGAACCGTCAATCTGTCGTAATTTGTTGTTGGACGTGTGAAGGAATCGAGCTAGAGATCCCGAGACTTACTGAAAATTCAACGGAATGAAGCCATGGGAATGTCCAGGGCTGGCATGTCTACACATGCTATTGCCAGACACTTCAATGGTCATCAGTCCACTATTGTAAGGTTGGTGGAACGTGTTCGAGTTACTGGATCAATGCGTGACCGTCAACGTCCTGGTCCACAACGCGTTACAACCCAGGCTCAAGACCGCTACATCCGGGTCACTCATCTGCGTGGCAGATTCCGCCCAGCGACTCGAACAGGTGCAGCAGTCGTCAGAAGACAAGGACCAATAAGTGTCAACACCGTAAGACGTCGTCTAAGAGAAGTAGGACTCTGTGCACGAAGACCTTATGTTGGAGCTATCCTCAGGGATCATCACCGTCAGTGGCGTTTGATATGGGCTCAAGGACACCAGACATATAGAAGAGTAGACTGGCAAAGTGTGCTCTTCAGTGATGAGAGTCGCTTTAATCTTTATCACGCTGATGGCCGTCAACGTGTGTGGAGACATCTTGGGGACTGCTGCGTCTTCGAAACGAATCGATGGGGTGGGGGAAGTGTAATGGTGTGGAGAGGCTTCACATTTCATCACCGGACCGCCCTACACATTTGCAGGGGTCGCGTTAATGCTGTAGCCTACCTTGATGATGGCCCGTGGAGGACACACGTGCTACTGACATCTGTGTCGTACTTTTGGTTTTGACCCCTCTGACTTTGTACCCTTGATTACGGATTAAACATCCATAAGTATACAAATGTGTTGTTACTGATGTGTTCCCATTTGAATATTGTTCACAATAAGAAGCAAAATAAATAAGATATGTTTACAGGATCATTTTGTTATACGAAAAACTAAGTGATGCGTTTTCCATGGCGCTCAGTATAAATTAATCCACACCTTTATTTTTTTTCATGGCCAGTGCTATTTCATCATTATTACTCAATACTTGTTTATTACCTTTACCTACAGAAAAAAAAATATGATTACACAATATTTAAAGATACATTCCCACAAAAGTATTTATCAGGTAGTTTTTCCCACAAAGTAGAGCCATTTTGGTATATATGGAAAGTAGAGACCCCCAATTTAGCCACCAAAATAAGCAAATGACAATTCAAAAGTTCAAGTGTGCTCTAGTTACTTGGACGAGACAAAAAGGTATGCACGTAAATAAACCTATGGTAGTAGGAATTCAATATAAGAGTGGGACATAGTGCTGCTGTCTGGGCAAAATTTACCTTATTGCACACTGCATGGCATATGCCTGTCTTCATTAGCCCAGTCGGAGCAGAACAGTAGGACGTTAAACCCCATTTCATTTCATCTCAAGGGTGCTCAATTTTATGATCCTTAATCTAAACTAGAACTATTTCTTTTCGCAAATGCACATTTTCATGTATTTATTTCTATTTCTATCTTCAAAACAGGAAAACATCATACCAACTTTTTCGCCATTAACAAATGTACCATTACTACTGGTATCTTCTATAAATACATGAACTCCTGATGTTGTTCTTTGCTGGTAAGTAAAAAATACAAAAACAAGGAACAGTTTTAATATCTAAAAATATACTGGTAACTGGTATTCAAGTTCCAGGGGGAGGGGGGGGGGAGTAAAATCACAACAGAATTGCAGTTATATTCCCACCATTTTCAAGCGATAGGACACAGTGATCATAATACAATTTGCAGTCCAATCAAATTAATAACAATGGAGTGTATCATTTCTTCTAGATATTTGAATATATATATATATATACATGTAATATAGTAAGCAATCTTGGCTTAAATCACTTCAAGTGCAAAATTGTTTCTATTTCCTATTTGTATTCACGGGGAATTATTGTGAGTTCAGGATTTCCGAATCCTTTTAGTTATGTTGTGCTTAGTTAAGACAGGTTTTACTGAAAGTCTTGCCAGATCTAGTGATTAAACATACATTATGCAAGAGCAAAATCTGATTATTGCAAGTCTTAATTTAGGCTTCAGATGTTATAGAGATTATAAATTAGATCTTTATTTAAACAACAAGCCCAAAATCAACTCTGTAGACCCACGGATGGCTCGGCTACAGCTCGGATTTAAATAGGATTTCACTTATTAATTAATTCAAATAAGGCGCATCCTGATGAGAATACGTCAGTTAGATCGAGGCAAAATGATAGAGTGTACTTGGCAAGGCCGCTGTAGAGTGTTTCCGCATGCCATTGAAAACTTTACTTGATAATCGAGATATGTAGGTGGAGTTAACGCCTGTTAATCAAACGATCGGCCAAGGTGATGGCACATTTCACTACCATTTCTAGTCAAATATTTCAACGATGATAACTATGTTCAGAATAAAGTAATTTGACTGAAATTTTCAATATATTCTTCTTTCATCATCTACTTTTGAACTCACTGTTATAGCAAGAATGGTCAATTCTCTATAAAAATCTTCCATAATGTATCTTTAACTATGCAATTAAACTTACCCTAATTAGTTTAAAATGAACTTTACTGTAGGCTTGAAAACATTGATTTTTCTTGGCAGCATTTCCATTAAATATAATATCACAGTTATCTCCCCTGCCAAATGTATATTCATCTTTTTCTAAATCTGCAATAACAGAATAATTTTAAACAAAAGAATTATGCTATGTTTGGTTTATGCTAAGTAAAAGTTTAATATTGCACAGTGCATATACAGGGGCATGTATGTAGAATTTTTAAAGCTTGAACATGCCAGAATAATAGTCAAGAATTTATAAATGCACAATCTGCAGTAGGCCTACCAATAGCCTACTTTTACCAAACTAAAACATATAAAATTATCCAAATATTATTAAAATTAATCAACAGACGGTCATAACTTATATATAAGAACTGGTGGATTTGAAAAATTTTTGGCTCAAAATGTTTATTAATCAAGAGTTATACACAGTATTGGTGCTATGGTCTTTCAACTCAGTAATTTAGCCATATACTTTGCTTCGTGCTTGCATTGAATGTTGGGGAATAAGAGTTTATTTACAAGTCCATAACTGTCACTAACAAGTCATTTGGTACATGCACATAGCTAGGCCTTGTTGATGTATTTATGTCAATATCGAATAATATATATCATTATTACTCCCCCTACTTGATCAGGTCATGACGACTCCCCACCCCACCGACCATTAAACAACCGACATCCTCCAATCAAAACATTGCTGAGGAAGCCATTTTCTTCAGAAACTATTTCATTCAAATACAGACATATTTCGCAACGACAATAAGTATGTCAATTAAAATTAGTAGGTTAAAGTTTTGGACAAGCCTGGACATGTCGAAGGCCCATTGATACATCGGACGAACTGTCACATCAATTCATTAATCAAGTTCGGTTCGTCAAAGAGTTGCATACCGAATGTCATAAAACTGGAACCAAGGGGGAATAGTCTCCCCCATGCGTTACTATCGACATCCTCCTCGCTTAGGTCTCCATCGACTAGGTCTTGTGTAGGTAGAGTCTCCATGCTGCTTATCTGCGAACCACTATTACCTAAAGGTATACTATTGCACACTGTTAAATCGCCTAGGTTAATGAGCTTATCGCAAACACCGGTGCTCATGTCGAGATAACAAGAGGTTTCTACGCATGCGTTTCGTTCACGAGCCATGTGATCTTCAAAATACAGCCGCAGTTTATGAATCCTTGATCAGTGACTGATAAAAGGACACGCGTTATCATACCCCCCACTGCACTGTTGTCATATCATTCAGTTCCCTTCAGATGAAAAAGTCCTATGGAAAAAGTTTATTTTCCTATAGAATTTTGTTGGATTCTATTGAATACAGGAAAAAGAATGCATTCTGTAGATTTTTTCGCGACTATTAATATTATTAAAAGTATTATAGAATCGCTACCGATAGTTGAGTTGGTTCCGAGTGCAATTTCCTACAGAATTCTATAGACTAGGCCTACTCCAAGAAATTACTACCCCCCCCCAAAAAAAAAAAAACAAAACAAAAAAAACCCAAAAAACAACATAGATTCACAGATCCATCATCGCAATCGTGCAGAACAGTAGGACTCCGAACCACATTTTCATTTCCGTAATAGGCCTACTAATAGGCTATATTTCAGCTGAACTATGTCTGTTCTAAGTATCCCATCCTCACTTCTTTAAATATATAAAAGATCTAGATCTGTATGCTTTATATGTATAATAAAATTGAAAAACTTAGATTTAGTGAGTTGATTTTTATTCTATCCAATACAAGTAGACTACCGATATTCATTGAATTAACTCGAAGTTCATTAGTAGCCTATTGCGCATAGAATAAATTGAAAACAATAAATTTGAAATACAGTAGGGTCTACTTACAAATTGTGTTTCCATAATGTAAGGCTAGAATCAGTAAAATTATTAGAAAATGTCTGAATCACATCTTGACAGCTTAATATCTGTCTCGAATATAAGTAGAAATATTATAAAGTGAAGAACACATGTATTATGACGTCACAATTATAATTATAGACTTCTTGCAAAGTAGACCTAGAAAAATATTAATGTTGAGTATGTTTTGGGTTGGGTTTTTTTTTTGTTAACAAGGATCGCTGCACTTTTGTGATCCTGAAATCATTAACACTCGATATGTTTTAGGGGTTATTTGGTCAAGGACGTACAGTGTCTAGTCGTTCGGATGGCACAAAAATGCAAGGTCCCGTGTACACATCGGCGTGTACGTAAAAGAACCCTTGATAGTTGGAATTCGAAATAAGAGCAGGCCGTGGCGCCGCTGTCCGGTCAAATTTCAATTACAGCACATTGCATGCAGTGCTGGATTAACCATAAGGCAAATAAGGCACGTGCCTTAGGGCCAGCCAAAAATCCAGGCCACAAAATAATAAAGTAAAACGTTTTTGATAATATTATCAGGTGGTGACAAAAATGCTTGCCTTTATTTTTATGTAAATAAATTGCATCCTTCTTCGTCTACGCGTTTGTTCTTAAAAGCTTTCCATACTCTGGCAAAGGGTTGACATGATGTTTCGTCCCTTTACACACGTGATGTTTGTTTACATTTGTTGTGCGGGAAGGAATCCGTAAGTAATTTCATATTTTTTAAAAATTTTCATTGATTTCGCAATTGACATTAGATGTAGCCTATTTCACGTAGGTCTAATTATAAACATGCATAGACCAACATAACGAGTGAAACATTGTCGAAAACAAGCTGATATGACTAGGGAAGCCAAGGTGAAAATTCCGATGGCGGTTCTGTGAAAAGATAATCCTCAGCCTGGTCAGCCGTTCGTAAATCTCTAGTCAGCAGTAGAAGTGTGGGTAATATTTCCAGTGTTAAATACTCTGTTATGATTAATGATTATGAACAGTGATTATGTTGAGTGTCAGAGCCCAACATATCTGTATTTTCAGGCCACCTATCAAAATGTGCCTTAAGGCCAGCAGAGCCTTAATCCGGCACTGATTGCATGGCTTAAGCCCATCTTCATTATCCCAGTCGAAAAGCGGGACGTTAAACTGACTCCATTTCATGTCATTTCTTTGCAAATTTCAGATACTTATCTAGACGGGAAAATTGCATAAAATGATAAATAAAACATCAAAACACAATGTTCTGGGTTTTTTTTTAAATATACGCATAGCTTGGAATTGTTACAGCTGTACATATTTTTTTAAAAGATGAATCATGTAAGATATAGGAAAAGAGCTGGTCGTTCTTGCTATAATAGTTCTAAAAATAGACAATGGGCGGAGCAAGTTAATCTCAAACGTGACCCCAAATAAATTGCAAAAGAAACCAATCTAGTTTGGTTAAAGCATATACTTATATCTGACAACATCATACTCAAATTCGCAGAAGACTGCGAAGGCGAAGTGACTTAATTTACATAATTCAATGACTTATGGCGGTCTCCAGGTGTGATATATATCTCGTAACCAGTGCGTTTCATTGGTGGGACAATAAATAGATTTTTATTAAAATTTTACAATACAAAGTGGTAATAGAGACGAAATGTTCCGAAAATAACAAATTTGACCAAATCAATGTTAAAAAAATTATTTTGGTTTTTTGAAAGAAACAGGTTTTAAATCATATCGTGAATTCTTATTTGTAAATCATTTAATATTTTTAACAAAATATTACCTATACAAATCGAAAATATTAGACCCACAATTATTAATATCGAAACTACGTGAAAAGTAAACAACAGATAGAAAATGAATTAAACGAAACCTTAATATATAAATGGGATTATACAATATGATTATTATTATGCATACCTCTAGTATTCCTTTCATACCTCTATAGCTATCTTTGTGTTTTGTTTTGTTTATGTTTTTTTGTTTGGTTTTTTTTTTTTGCTTTTAGTCTTTTTTGTGTTTCTGTTTGTTCTACTAAATGGATTATAAAAATATAGTATAACAGGTAGCTTTCAATAATGAATCAATGTTTTGTATGTTTGTTGTTTTGAAATTTTAATGAGATTACAAGATATTGAGTCAACTGGCGGGGTTTCGATTCCCCGGTTGTACGTGACAAGGAGTAGGGTCGCCTGTCCAACCTCGTGGGTTTTCTCCGGGTCCTCCGGTTTCCTCTCACAGCTAAAGACCCCCACGCGCAAGCGAATTATTGAAATAAAATTAAACCATGTGTTAGTCCCGAAATGACCTAGTTTGTGTCGAGTGGACGTTAAACCACATTTCTCTCTCTCTCTCTCTCTCTGAAATGAAATGGAGTTTAACGCCGTACTATTCTGCTTCGAAATGGGCTACTGAAGACGTGCATACGCCATACAGTGTGCTATGAGGCGTATTTTTACTGATAATTAAAGTAGCTACGTATCCAACTCAGTATCATCCAAAGTCTTGGACACTGAAAACACAGATCATTTTGTCAATTTAAATCAACATTGATGTTGTAATCTTACCCGGAAAAGATGGACTTCTGATATACAACATTTAAAGTTGCAATTTCATATTTTTAAGTTATATTTTTAAAATTTATTAAAATAAAGCCTTAAAATAGATGGTATCTATAAACAGTCCTACCTTGTTAAAGAATAATCCTATTAATCCTATAATTCACTATTGCCAGTTGAGAAATTGGCAAAAATATCATTTTCATCTTCAAATTCCAACGTTTGAAGATAACTAGGCCTACTCCATGGTGGAGAATAGAAAACAAGGGAGGTAATTGTGTTATTATTTCCGGTGTAAATGAGTTTTAAGCGTGAGAATGACACCTATGATCGTATAATAGTGAGTTGACAACCTATTGAGCAAATTACATAGAAATAATTATGGTTTGACTTTCTTAGAAAATATGAAATTTTAACTTTAAGACAAAATAAACATTTTACCATTGGTACTCGAATCGTGTACCATAACGCGGTCCAACACCATTTGTAACAAGGGTCTCGAAGAACGATGCTTGACATATTCCACGAGTCATGTCAAACGGTAACTTCATATTCTTATCTGAAGAGCATGCGCAATAAATACTCTCTGTGTACTGGTATAACCAGGCGCTAGAGATTGCCATTCGATTGAGACTTCTGGCGTATTTCGCCGAACATAACTGATTTGAAATTAGAGTAAAAACGGAAACTGTTTACGAACATTCATTACATTATTATATGTGTTGCGATCCATTTGTGTCAATTTCTAGGTCACAAATATTAGCGATTTATCTCCTTTAAAGTAATCAAGTAATGCGGAAATTTGAAACACGTTTTAACATCCTATCTTTCCCCTCCCTTTTCAGGGATTAGCTGAAAAAGACGAATGGTAGACTCAGGGGTCCCTAAACTAGTTAATGATCTTGTGTAGTCATAAATTTACGTCATTTTGATGAACCGTTAAGATATATTATGCATAAGCTAATAACACCAGGATATACTCTAGAAAGCAAAATTTATGTTTTTTATAGTATGCCTGAAGTTTTTGCACACATTTGATGTGTAACAGTCTTATCGGAAATTAATTTTTGAACCCAATATTGAATTCAGTAACCCCGAAATGAAATGAAATGGGGTTTAACGTCCTATACTGTTCATCTCCTATGCTGGGCTAATGAAGAAACCATTGAATGTAAATCAGTTTATATACATTCATATTACAGGATTATGTGCGTTGCGACCCACTTCTGTCAATTTCTAGGTCCCAAATGTTACCTATTTAGCTCCTTTAACTCTATTTTTATGTCAAGCTTGCGGCAATTTGCTGGATTTTGTTGCGCTGTATAAATGAGATTTAAAGACGACAAGTCCGTCTAATGTCTCGAATGATAAATAAATGAAATGAAATGGGGGTTTAACATCCTACTGTTGTCTCGATAATAGAAGTGAATAAGTTTATTATGACGTCACAAGTAGAAAATATTGAGAGCCAGAGACTGGGTAAGGCACAGGGTTCGCTCTCGGCATTTGTCGAGAAAATTCCTCGTGGTTTTCCGGTTGGTTTCACCCTGTCAATGTCACTGGCCGACAAGGAACAACGTCTAGTTCGGATGGGACGAGAAAACGAATACCTCATTTACTGTTTAAATATATATTATGTAATATTAGATAAAGAGCTGGCAGCTTTCACTATGATAGTTAAAAACTACATACTGTAAAGGAAATATGCTGAAAATTCCAGTCAAATTGCTTCACTCTAAGCCGAGAAAATCGATTGTCATTGTTTGTCATGATAATTAACAATGTCTCGGTTATCCACTTTACGGTTAATGGGCGTTGAACAGCAGATCAGATTCAAATCTAATGAAAATGGGACACATCTCTTATAAAACTAAGAATGAATTCAACTTTCATTAGAGCTAGATCTATATGCGCTATAGAATAAATTTAAAAGCTGTAATATGACGAGAAATACTTACAAATTATGTTTCCATACATCCGATGAAATATGTTCACCAAGGAAGGTGAGAATCAGTAAATTTATCAGAGAATATCTGAAACACATCTTGACAGCTTGAAAATTCTGTCTCGATTGATAAAAAGACAATAAGTAACCATAGATATTTTATAGAAATGAAGAAGTATAACGCACTTTTATTATGACGTCACAATCGACTTCTTGAAAAGTAGAAAAATATAAAAATAAAATGTAGTGTGTTTAGGGGTGTTTTGTGCGTTTGTGTGGGGGTATGGGGGGTATTTTTGTTTACAAGGATCACTATTAATGATTTTGAAATGATTAATATAACCTATAATTATGCTTTGATGGTTAGGTATGGAGAGGTATCTAGATAGGGGTGCTGGAACGTCCGGGGCCCTAAGGGTGCGTATGTTGATTAAAGGGTTCCCGGGTTCCATTACGGAGAAATTTTTGGAAATTTTGTTCCAGAAGAGATTGGATCAGATGTCTTCTGACCGGTTACTATCTGAATTCCATCTGATGAGAATGCACTAGTAACAAGAAACGATTTGAGGCGCTTTGACGTAAGGTACCAAACAAAAATCTTAAAAACAGGTTCCATCTGATAGTTACCCGTTGAACCATCTCAGCTCTGATGAAGGTTGACAAGATATAGTCAAAATATCGACCATAGTGTTTATTTTTTGTTTGTTGGGGCGGGTTACCCCTTATAGACACGCCACTGTCTGGCAGTGATCATTCATGATACCTGTAGTGGTACTGAACAACTCCAAAGCTGTTTTAGGTGGCACAGATTTCAGCTAGCTGTGGTCTGGAAATTAGAAAACTCTTGTCAGGGATACTCCACCACTACAAATGTCTGACAATTATATAGCTCTGTCAGGGGTACCCCACCACTACAAATGGCTGTCAGAGTGTTTTTGTAACACCTGAACATGTACGGTACACTGCAGTGAGATTTTCGTGCGGTACACTTTTGAGCTAATCTAGCCTAGTTGGGGGGCATGACATTTTGGGCGTGGAATACCACACCCACCATATTAAAAAGCCACCAATCGATGCGCAATTGTCCAAGGAACTAGCACGTCAAGTGTCATGTCGATCTGTTTTCGAACTAAAACAAGAACAACCGTACGTAGCTAATGTACGAAAATTAAATGTTGTTTTTTTCTATTTACTACAGACGGATACTTATAACTCAAAACTTTCTGTGGATTAAAATTATGTAGAATAAAATTATTATTGTTCTTCGATAATGTCATGTTGTTGTTTTCGTACGGTGTTATTTATTTCTTTTTCGGTGGATTTGGGGTTTTAAAATCGAACTCTATATTTGTATAAATTACATCAGACACAAAATGGGTAGTCCGGTCTCCTAACCGTAAATACGAACGACTTTCCTTGTTGTTTTCAGAAAGTTACAACATCTAAACCATGTTTTATGTTATTTCTCGCATATTCTGGGGTGACTGTTGCCAGATTTCAAGAAAATTTAATAAATCAGCTCACGTTGATTCCTCAGGTTGGAATAGGACTATCAACAAGTTTATTGTTTTATTCAAGGAACACATTTGTTGAGATGGGAAAGGGCGGTAGAAATGTAGTTTCACAAGAGGGTGTGTTTCGTATAGATAACAAAACTCACCCAGTTGCTTGGGTACTGAAAATCGGCGTCTCGTCCCAAGATATACCGACACGTGCAAGCCCTCTCGAGAAGACTATTTTGAGCTTGATGCGTCAAGGGATACAACCAGTTTCATAACTCCTTCTCCACTTGCACGAATTTTATGTATTTCAATTGTTGCCAATAACAAAATGACGCTAATAGTTTGTAAGGAGAGATGGTTGTATTTTATAGAGTAATTAACTAAAGATATACAAATGTTTTTATTCCATTAAACGGACGGCTAATAAACAAGTATTATCACAAATAGACAATTTTATCACATACAAACAATTTTATCATGATAATGCTGCGTTGGTATCACTCTAAGCTTTTATTAACAAATACTTCAAATGAACAAATACTTAACACAACATGAACAAAATTTAACTTAAAAACTAACAAATACTTACAATATGAACAAATCTATCACATTAATAAAGTTGAATTTCATAACTTATAATAATATTGTAAAACATTAAATTGTTTTGTAAACTGTAAGTGGTGGATTAAATTGTGTCATGAAATTAAAGTTAAATATAAGTACCCTAACAATGATTTAAAATAAAATAAAATAGAAAAAACATTGGCCATTTTAAGTTAACAGCCTCACAATATTCACTAGCAATTATCACTCTTCGGTCGTAATGGGATTGTTATTGAGAAAGCAGAGATGCTTTTCCCAGAAATCATAAACAAATACACAATATAATTTTGAAGATATACAATATATAAGGAATAATAATTAAGGCTAAATTTGGTAACTTTCACATTTTACTAATACTCATAATCTTTACTCAAAACTACCAGGAAAACCCCGCAAAAAAACGTACAGGCAATTCTTATAAAACACCAGTTTTTACACTTTGCCCAGACTATCATTTTCCCTTATAAATACAATCTGTTTAAACTAAAGATGTAAATTTCATCTGTTTCTATTATACTTTTGATGTCCTCCATAAAATCTGACTGGATTATATGGAAGGTTGTATCAGGGTTCACAGGCGAAAACTCTTAATATTTATAATCAACCATTGTCTCCCAGAATTCCATGAACGATTTCATTGGCCAATCCCCACCATCAAAGAGAACGTAGTTTATTTAAAAACACATCCCGATCCAAGTGTAGTGAAGATATATAAAAGGAAATTTGAAAAATAAAAAACGAAATGGACTAGGATCTGAGATTTATAAATAGAACAAGAACTTATTTTCACATGTAGGTAATCACATAATATAACATTATGAGTATGCATCATTGTATGTATCATGCATGAAACATACTGATTACTAATATTTATATATTAAAGAAACATGATATGTAAGATTTAGATAAAGACCTGTGGACTGTTTCATGAAATTTTAACTAAGATAAAATCCAAATTTTAGTAATTTGATTGGATAATATTAGATTGATTTTAGTGCTTAGCCAATCAAAATTGAAGTATCTACTAAAATTTGGATTTTATCTTTAGTTAAGATTTCGAGAAACAGGGCCCTGGCCATTCTTGCTGTAATATAATAGCTCAGCAGACACTGATAATGAAAAATTAATATATTGAAATTTCAGTCAAATTACTTTTTTCTGGGTGTGGTTATGAATGTTTGAAATTCTAACAAGAAATAACCATAAATTGCCAATCATAATCTGGATTGTCAAGGACCATTGCCATGATAATAAACAAAACCCTTTTTTTGTCAGTCTTCGTAAGTGAAGTCATGCATTACCTGAACATTTTTACTTGACTGGCCATATTAGCATTTAAAGCAGATACAGCTGGCATTGACTAATGCACTAAATATCTCATCCGCACAATGATCTAGAGAGTTGATTATGGGTTTGTCAGGTGAATAAACATCTAAATAACATAAGATTTGAATAAAAAAGCCCTGCAATGGTCAAATTTAACTCTAGCAAAAAGATTCTTTATATACATTTAATAAACATGTCATAGTGAATAATTCACATGTTATCTATTTATCTTTTCTACCTGTATTAATGTATAAATATATCACAGACTGAATTGATGTAATTATAAAATGTTTAATATGAAATATGTTTTTACGTAGTAATAGGTCTCATACTGCTTATCACCATGTTCATTTGTCTTTCTTTCTCCTGGAAATCTGTATGACCTATTACTAACTCACTGTAATATAAAAAAAACACATTAATGAAGGCATGCATACACTATACTGTTTGCTATGAAGGAATTTGTCCCTATCAGCAACACTGTTGTCTAGTGTCTACTCTTATTTCCCCGGACAGCGTCACTATAGGTCTACACTCTTATATTGAATTCCAACTGCCCAGGGTTCTTTTACGTGCACGCCAATGTGCATCGGGTACATGGGACCGCCGTTTTTTTGGCACTTCTGAGTGACTAGATACTGTTCTTGAAAGGCTCTCCCCACCCAAGACTTCCTGGTTGTTTTACTCACTGGACCACTGCAGCTCCCAATAAACATAGGTTATGAATGGAGTTTAACATCTTTTAAACACAGTTATTAGGTCATCTTTAGACTAATTTCCTGATTTTGTCCACAAAATTTTCAAAACTTCCAAGGAAAATAAGTGGTTGGGAATATGTCCTAGTTAAAGAATATAATTAACAGAAATAGTTAATAATTGCATCTTAGCATTGATTAGAATGGGGGAAAATTGGCCACACAATTTTCAAAACTTCCAAGGAAAATAAGTGGTTGGGAATATGTTCCAATTAAGGAATGTAATTAACAGAAATAGTTAATAATTGCATCTTAGCATTGATTAGAATGGGGGAAAATTGGTCCCAGCATGCTAGCTTCGAATGAAAAGTACATACATCCCTCCCACAAGCCTGTGAGATAGAGGAGGGTAGATGGGGAGCATGTGCCACTGCTATCTCAGAGGCCAGCAAATTATCAGATAATGTCTTTTGGTACCAATGATAACATAAGTAGGTAATACGAACCTATAATTTATTTCACCATCTCCATCTCGATCTAATTCTTCTAATAACTGTTGAGTTTCTTCTTCTGTTAAATTAATTCCAGTTTCCTTTTAAAAAATTACATAAAAGTTACTCTTGTACTAGTATATTATTTACTCTGCAAAAAACTAAATTTATTTAACCTTGATATTTGTCATGCTACAATTGATTAACGAGTTGAGAACCTCAAATGTGGACAGTGATAATATATTGCTATGGGGTGAAATAAGGAGAAGATGCAATAAACACAGAGAACATGCTGTTGCACTAATTCAAAAGGGCACAAGTACCAGAGTCATTGTTCAAAGGTCATCACACTACCCTCCAGATCATTTCCAACGGATCGCCCAAAGCCTGGTTATAATGTATTTTCATTGAATCCCAGTATATATATGTAATTGTTTTGAACAATTTACAGACTACTACTAGCATAAAACACTAATACAGAGAGTACAAAAGTAAACGGAATAAATTTTCTTGCTCGGTAATTATGTGTCACTTATTCATCAAATATTAACCCAGAAATAAAGTTTAATAATTCCATTAGAAGTGCAGGTTGTGTATTCTCAAAAAGCATTAGTTTTCTAATTAACCATTACCTGATTTTTTAAGCAATATAAATCCACACAAGCTATATTATAAACTCGTAAACACAAGCTATATTATAAACTCGTGAACACAAGCTATATTATAAACTTGTGAACACAAGCTATATTATAAACTCTTGAACACAAGCTATGTTATAAACTTGTGAACACAAGCTATATTATAAACTCTTGAACACAAGCTATGTTATAAACTTGTGAACACAATCTATATGATAAACTTGTGAACACAAGCTATATGATAAACTCGTGAACACAAGCTATATTATAAACTCATGAACACAAGCAATATGATAAACTCATGAACACAAGTTATATTATAAACTCATGAACACAAGCTATATTATAAACTCATTAACAGAAGCTATATTATAAACTCATTAACACAAGCTATATTATAAACTCATGAAAACAAGCTATATCATAAACTCATGAATACAAGCTATATCATAAACTCATGAACACAATATAATATATAATTACCATAAATTAATAATATATAATTTTTATGATATAACAATCCAACAAAATATAATATTTGGCAGGCACATGAAAGGGATTCTATAGGGTTACTAAATTGTTCTATAAGGGATTAAAGGTCAATGTTAAGGAAATGGATCATAAAGTACAAATTTCATGCATCAAATATAACCATGTATACAGTGTTTTGTTTGAAAAATCTGCACTTAACACTGCTGTATTAAGGCATAAGTTTTATGTCTAACAAATACACTTTTAGTCTACTGGCCATCTCAATTGCTCACTACAAGTGGCGGTTTCCTACTGTCTATTTAAATAAAAATAGGGATGTATTTAGTCAAAGTTGTGACTCATACCTTTTTTATATAAAAAGATAATTGGTTTTGATTAATCTTGCTTCAATTTCTTGGGCAGTTATTGATTGATTGATTGTTAAATTAAATAGTAATCTGACACGGAAAATGCCTTTCAGTTGACATTTCAAAGAAAGCATTCGGCACTTCCACAATAGCAATTACAACATAAAGATATATGTGGCATGAATTGTTTTTAGCATATATATCTGACATTATCATTTGCTGGTATATCAATGCAGAATAGCTAATATATGAGGCATCAACTGTGGCATATATATGTGGGATAGATGTGGCATTAGCATTTGCTGGCATATAAAGGTTGGATAGCTAATATGTGGCATCAATTGTGGTTGGCATATAAAGGATATAAACGTGGAATAACAAATATATGTGGTATCAGTTGTGTTTGGAATACCTGGCATTAGCAGTTGCTGGCATATAAAGGTTATAAATATGGGATAATACATAAAAACTTACTTTTTTAATCCTCTAATATAAACAAATAAAACAAAGTTGACAGAATATAAATGGCTGACTGAGAATTGACAGTCTCTACTCATGCTAATGAAGTTCCAAGAAGTAGAACAATCAAGTTAGATAATTATGGCTAAGGCAGATACACAATCCATCTAACCATCATTAACTATATGCTGTATTGTAATTCATATTCATTCATAGTAGTCGATAAATGAGTAAGGCATATTAATTATGGGTGAGACAGAGATATTTCTTATGGATGGAGGGATTACATACATGTATCATGCCTCCTTTGCCCTATATTTTGAAGCATCTCTAAACAACATGCTAAAATTTTTGAGTAATCTTAAAATTCAGTACCAGTTTAATTTGCAATACCCCTGATAGAATTAGTCATATACTTCATCATAAAGCCTAGCCCCCTTGGACAAAATTTGGGTTACTGAGCACAGTTTTTATTCTCTGTAAAACTTAGTACAAATTCCTAGAATCAAACAATTGGAGTGATATTTGTTTCTCCATCTTTGAAAATCAAACATTTTTGACCACAACACTAGGGACTTTTCTTTTAAAACAAAATTTATTTTTTCCAGTAAAAATCTATGATCAATACATTTTTAACTTACCACTAAACCAGTTAAGAATTCTTCATGGGTGACACTCATACTCTTATCTTTGTCAAATTTATTAAAGAAATCAACAAGTCGTAAGTTATTTTTCTGGATATAGCTGTGTAGTTTAACCATGGGATGGACTCTAGCTTTAGGGTTGAGTGGCGGTTCCATACCCCCATGTCTCATCTTTAATTCTGGGAACTGTTCCTGTACTTTTTTGAATATCTCATTAAAATCTTGATTCACTAATATATCCTAAAATTACACAAAAGTAAGAAAAATCCTTATCATTGATGAAAATGTCATATAAAAATGGGCAACAATAAAGGAATTTCAGTTCATTCTGCCAGCGGTCATAACCCATATTCGGTTTACAGGCAGTCACTGACTGAATCTTCGCAACCGTCACTATGAAAAATAGGTATTTAAATCATTCTAATAATTTCTAATTCCAGAACAATCTTAGTTTTTGCACCTGCATTCAGCGTCGGATAATTATGAGTAAGAAGCGGTAGCCTAAGTAAAACTTTCAACATAAATCATCTTAGATTAAAATCAAAGTAAAACTCCTTCATAATCCTTTAAATTATTAATCCACATTCTTCATTTATACTCCCAGAGTAAAAGGGAGCCACAGTGGCTTAGCGAGTAAGATGCTGGCTCGCTAACCTGTAGGTTGCGTGTTCGATCCCTGCATTGGGCGAAAAACTTCATCATGATTTTCCGACGTGGTTTCCCCTTGTCAGTGGTTCAAGACAGAGGGCCTGACAAGGATGAAAAAACCAAGGTCCCATTGGCGTGCACGTAAAAGATCACTTGGCAGTTGGAATTCGATATAAGAGTAGGCCATAGTGCTGCTGCCTGGGCAAAATTTCCCAGAGGAAAAAGTGCATCTTAGGTATTACTATTACAGGATGAACAATACATAAACTAATACTTACTGAGAAGTCTAACGTCTCCAATATACAGTTAGGATTCTTTAATATAGCAGCACAGATTCCCCAACAACCAGCACTCTGCATCGGATTCTTACCAATCTTTAAAAATTAAATGTAGTACGGAACATAAATTTATCTTATATGAGCAGAATAACTGTTGTTTTTTCAAATCTAATACCAAAATAGGAGAGAATAAATGGACAGACATCATTCATCTTTATCATACTTTATCTTTAAGACTAAATCTGGTTTATGGAGGCTACAATAGGGCAACAAAATTAAAATGATTTAAGCCCAAACATGGCAGAATAAAAGTTAAAAATAAAAAGTACTTTCTTTAAATAAAATGTTTTAATTTGGTCAATTTTGACTTGTTATTGCCATTTACACTATTTAAAAGCTTCACATTACTAGTAAAAAAAATACCATCAAAATATACCTTAAGCACTTTTAAAGTTTCATTAACAGCAAGACCTTTACCAATTATTACTGCTCCCTCGGTATTAATTCGATTGTTTCTAAAATGAAAAAATAATAAACATAGATTAATGAAGCATTTTATCAATCTCACAAAATAAATGTAATTACCTTTGAATAATTTCATATTCAAAATAACTGTAGTATCACCTTATTATGGAAATTCCAAGCAACAACCTACTTAAAGTGAGATATTGGTTTTTCACAATTAATGGTTAAATTCATAAATTAACAGCTAAAGTCAGACTTGTGTACAATCTAATTTGAATAAAAGAAATGAAATGAAACAGGGTTTAACGTCCTACTGTTCTGCTCCGACTGGGCAAATGAAGATGGCTAATTTGAATAAGCCTGATGTCACTAAAGTGTTAATGTCTCTTTAAGGTTTGTTAAAAGAGAAATTTTTTGCAGTTGATCTGATGTCATACACATATGCTATTACATTTATTGTCTAATCGACCTCTTATATCCATTTGTGATGCATGTAATAAGAGACAATTAATTATTAACTAGAAGATCAACCAGAGTTGACAAGCATGAATATAATTTCAGTTAAAAATCAATACGAAATATGTAACAAGACTTACGAAATATCAAGGTCCTCAAGAACAGAATTTCCTTTTAAAGCATCTCCAACAGCAAAGGCACCTTCAACACCAAAACCATTCCATGATAAATTAATCTTCTTCATAAATACATTTGTCTGTAATGGAGTAGGTATAAAATTGCTACAAAGATATCGTTTTCTTTCATTTAATTTTTTTTTTATACAATATTTTCTGTCATAGATTTTCAGGAGTATTTCACAAGTTAGAATCCAAATTATAATTCAAAATCAAATTTTGGAAATTCTGTGCATTAAAGGGGAATAACTCATCATCAAAGAATATAAACCCCTTCAACACTCTAACTTCTGCTTGATCATTTTCATCAAGAGTTCATCTTGGATAGAGTGCACTTTTGTCCGAATAAAATCTTTGATTACTACCCGAAAATAACTCTTGTTTGCCATAAACATCTATCTTCAAACCCTTTTAGCTCCCCTCAACTGACTGCCTCATACCACTCACACGCCTTATAATAAAAGCAAATTGAAATACTTCTCAATGATCCAAACCATGCTCCGAATCATCTAGGTATCAATAAGAGTATTATTATTATAAATGTTACCTTAACACCTTGAGCAACACTGACAGCACCTCTTCTTCTGATATGATTCCAACTGAGATCTAATTCTTTAATACAACTATTCTCTGATATAGCTGGTCCAAATACCACTCCAGCAGTCTCACAAAAATTATTCTTACTCAGATTCAAATATTCCAAAGTTTTAGTTAACTGTAAAAAAAATTAAATAAGCTACCTGTCTGAATTTGCATGAAACTAAAGAAAAATTTGTAAGACTTTTTCCCTCAAGGTTAATTAGATCATCTAGTGCAAACTGAAAACTTAATTTTTATCTAAAAATAAAATTATAGACTGAAAGTGATTAGCAAACTCACAATAAAATAAATAAAGACCCAAGCTTTACCTTACACATGCAGTTTGCCTTCTGCTTTAAGTGACGGCTGTAATCGCAATGGTGGCATATTTAGATTTAAAAGTGAACCTATTGAGGCACTTGTCTGTCAAGGAAATATAGTTTACGAAAAGGGTTTCTTTGTTTTTACTATGCTAAATAAATATTGCATGGAACAGGGCACTGTAGTCGATATTGGCACTCATACTCTCCATGCCAACATATTTATGTTACATGTCAATTTTTACGCCACATATGATTCATCTGTATATAAGATCCAATTAATATGTTTGAAGGAAAATTTCATTGATAACCTAGTCTGGTTTGCATTAATTTATTCATATTTAAAAGATCTCAAGACTAACAGTGAAGATGATCCACAGTACCGATCCCTCCCATTTCACTCCCTGTCTCCACACACATTTCTCCACAAAACCCAAACATACACAATGCACATGCAGATTTGAATGTTAAGCTAGTGAATGTAATAAAAATTACCATTATAGTGTTAGCGAAATGTACAGCAGATTTATCATCAAAGTCATTACCTGAAGTAAAAGTGATTAAAACAAAACAACAGTGAATCAGTGCTATTAATGTATTAAATAATAAAATTAATTAATGTGATAAAAAAACAAACTTGTTCCAGACTAGCCGATAATGTTTATCTATATTTAATTTTGATTAACATTTGTATTAGATTGTGATAGTAGTCTTTTATAAAGATTTAGTGATTTGGAGGTTTTCACAGATTCGAAACAGTTCTAATTGGCATCTACAAATTGGATTGTATATATTCATTGAGGCAGATCTACCATACCACCACGGAATGCTTGTGAATAATACTAATACTGTACTCTTAGTTGTTCAATGCTCAGATTTTCAATAATAAGAAGAGTTTAAGGTTATTTGAATACGTTATTAATCAAAATTAATTACATATTTTGAATGTGAGAGTGGTAAAAATCATCAAAATTAACTATATTTATTTTCTTAGTGAGAGTGGTAACGATCTTGGTGAGAGTGGTAATAATCTTGGTGAGAGTGGTATTAATCTTGGTGAGAGTGGTAATAATCTTGGTGAGAGTGGTAATAATTTTGGTGAGAGTGGTAATAATCTTGGTGTGAGTGGTAATAATCTTTGTGAGAATGGTAATAATCTTGGTGAGAGTGGTAATAATATTGGTGACAGTGGTAACACTCTTTAAAATTAACTACGGGTACATATATTTTCTTGCTGAGAGTGGTTAATTATAATTTATATTTATTTTCTTGCTGAGAATGGTAATAATCTTCAAATTTAACTATATCTATTTTCTTGGTGAGAATAGTAATAATCTTCAAATTTATCTATATCTATTTTCTTGGTGAGATTGGTTAACTATATTGTAATGGTAATGGTAATAATCTTCAAACTTCAATATTTATTATCTTGTTGAGAGTGATAATACCTCTCTAAGTAAACTAGTATGTTTTATGGACTGTCTGGTAATTTGTCCATTTCAAACAAATTTTGTAAAATTTTAGGTAGAATAAATATTTCTTTCTATGGAAACAAGTCAGTCTGAATTAAAGAATAGACTTTGGCTAGTCTGGTCTGCAGAAAAAAATAAATCTGCGATCTTCTAAGGAGCTCAACACACACAAATGACACACAAGTCTCACGCATGGGTTTACTAAAAATTTCCCCTATAGACTTCTCTTGGTAGCACGTACAGCGGGTTGTGAGCTAGGTGTAAAGAAAGGAGATCATCTGCCTATTTCTGTATTTGGAACCACGGTGGCTTGGTTAGAACACATGAGATCACAAACCAGGAGAATCTGGGTTTGATCCAAGTGTAGGCTAAACCATTTTCTCAAAATTTATCCCAGTGCTGGCCGAGAAATTTTTTCTTTCGGGATGGCTGGAGGGCCAGGCATGTAAAAACATCTAATCATCTGGATTGGATGAAAAAAAAATGAGGTATGGCAGTATTAGACCAGTTGGTGCAGAAAAGTTAAACAAAATTACAATACAGAAATAGGAGAACAATGTTCGCTAATAGAACCCATGTTTTTGGCAATCTGGTTAAAACGCAGATCCTATTTCGTTTCGTTTTTATAGTTCAAAATTTTGTTTTACTTGTCTTTACTACACTTGGATCTGGAAGAGTTGTTATTTAACTCGTGTTCTGAATTGTGTCAGGGATAAGCCAATGAAAAGGTCTGTTACGGCGAGCTTTAGGCATGTTTTGCACGGAACTGTGGGTAATCCACTAGTAACATCAATGCTGATAGGTTAATCAAATGTCTGACGTCATAGGCCATCGAAAGTATAAAAAAACGAAAAGAAATATAGATCTGTATTTTAATCAGATTGTGTTTTTTGTTACCAAAACCTTTATTGTGCATGGTATTAAAATGAGAAATAATTGAATATGTATACCCTACTTGTGATAATAACAGATGAAATAATTGAATATGTATACCCTACTTGTGATAATAACAGATGAAATAATTGAATATGATAATAATGTATAACCTACCTGTGAGAATAACAGGTGATAAATTGAATACGATAAAATGTATAACTTACCTGTGAGAATAACATGTCTTAATGTATCATTCTGTAATAATATTTCACACAAACTTTGTGCACATTGATAATTTAATTTATTATCAGATAAATCCTGTAAAAAAAAAAATACCCAATAAATTCATCAAATTTACTCGGAATAGACTAACTTTACAAGAAAAAAACAAATGTTATGTTAAAGAGTCAAATACAACTACTAGATCTTACCCTGCACTCATCAAGAACAGGGCCATCTTCTATCTGGCAAACACAAGATACTGATTCCTCATCACTGATTTTTACTATAGTTATCAGGTAACTTTCCTGTTTCCACTTACTAAAATCTCGCACACAATATTACCCTTTGCATTATGTAGGGTCCGGTCATCGGTTCATCCCACAGTTCATCACACAGAACCTATTCCATTATTAAAATAGCTTAGAATAGTAACCAGTTGTCATTATGTGAGGCCCCGTCAGTCACTTAAACTGTCTGTGGGCTATTTTTTTTTTATTAGAACAGCCTATCATAGGTGACCACTAATAAAATAGCTACATGATAACTCAAAATGAAATAAAACCTACCAGATGTGATATAAAACAATTTTCTTTTAACATTTGACATACTGCCATACCACCAGTAAATCCTAGCCAATTATCAGCTAAATTTAACTCTGTTATTTCTGTATTGGACTGAAATATAAATACATCGAAATGAAATGAAATGGAGTTGAACATCCTGCTGTTCTCCAACTACTGGGCTAATCAAGACAGGCACCATACAGTGTGATATGAAGGAAATTGTGCCCAGGCAGCAGCGCTACAGCCTACTCTTACATCAAATTCCAACTGTCATGTAAACGGGATGTGTACTCCGTCCTGCATAACTCCTATAAAAAATCCTATTGAACTTTCTCGGCCAACACAGGGATCGAACACAGGACCTCCAGGTTAGTGAGTCAACATCTTACGCAGTGAACCGCAGCGGCACCCAATATACATCGAAATTCACTTTATACCATCACATAAATTTAGAATTGGAGTGGAATAGATGTCCTATCCTACTTATCGCTGAGGGGATATATCTTTAAGTCAATGACTTTTCCTCTGACCACCTGGTAGAGAAGCCTGATTATAACAGAATCCTGTCTGGCGACATGTTAAGCCGTATTTTGTACTAAGAACCTAAGTTGCTATTTTTATGAAAAGGGCTAAATATTATGGATTCAGATATACAAACTACAAGGGGCAATAAAAATGAAAGGAATGGGTTTATATTGAGACTAATAATATGGTTTTTTTTTCTACGTTTATGTCTGTAATACTTGGGAAAACAATTTCTATTGTTCTTCGAACTCCAAATGTCAGTGGATGTTTGATAAGCACAATTAAGACTAACAAATGACGTCCGTGGTCCTCCCAGAATATGTAAATAGATCTTACCACTAAAGACATGGCTATAGCTTTCATTCCATTAGCACCTAATCCATGATGACTTAAATTAACTTTATTATCCTGCATGTGCCGTAGAAAGTAAGAAACAGGAATTACACCAACCAGTTTACATGCTTCTATATAGGCTGTTTTACCACTGTGATCATAAGTAGGTGTATTATCTACAATATCAATTAAAACAAAATTTAAAGAGCACATAAATAGACCATAACAAAATTAAATGTACTTAAAGCCAGTGTTTATTATATACGTTTCACCACTGTGATCATTTAATAAGTAGGTGTATTATTTACAAATCAATTTAGAAAAAGGTTTAAGTGGGCTCTAATTTATCCAACATGATTATTATGGGAGGTCAGGGAATATAATTATTTTGATGTCTATTAGTATTTGAATAATGTTTATATTTGTAATGTTGTCTTGTCATTTATTTGTATTTTTCAATAATAAATGACATTTTACACCTTAGCAAGATGTTTTATTTGAGTTATTGGATTGAGGGGCACAAATCATCTTAAGACCTGTTTACAAGGAGTGTAGCAGCATATACACAGCATGGACAGAAATCCATATTGATGTCATCCATTAAAGCAGAAAGTAGGAAACAGTATTTCAAAATTATATGGACAATCAACATGATAATCTTGAAGATTAAATTTCTTAACCCAAAATCTGTGCAACATGTAAATTTTTAAATTTTAGCTTTTTGTTGGTTGGTGTGATGCAGCTGACATAAAATAACCAAATTTTTACAAAATTTTCACAGAGAATCTCTGAAAAAACACTTCAGACAGGGGAAGAAAGATACACACCCTACCATGGGTCCCCCATAACCTAATATCCTGCACCCACTGCCCACCCAATCATGAAATGAGAATTAATTAACTCACCATCTCCTTCTAAATCAGTATCCCAGGCCTTATCATCAAATATATCCACTTTTTTAAAATCCAGATCAGATGTGACTTCACGGCTACTAAGTTCCACATCAGATTCTGTATCTGAACCAGTTTGTAAGGTTTTAGATTTAGAGGTAGCTGCACTAGCGGTTCCTGATTTTCTGCTACTGCTGGTTCGACTTATAGTCTACAAGATAAAATAAATGTGATTAATTTAATTTATGTAATCTTTAATATCTTTTGTCAAACTCCTAAAATTTGCTCTGTAATGTCTAATCTTTTCAATACTATAAAAATATGTCCTCCAATAGTAACCCATTCTTATACACTTAGTTCTATTAATTCCTTGGGGGCAAAGGCGGCTATTCTGTCCCACTAGCCTGGAGGCCGCGGGTTCGCTCCCGGTCTAGTCGTTCAGATGGGACGACAACCTGAGGTGTTGCATTTTGGCTTGGTACGCGTATTGGTGCCTTCTTACTGACATCAATAAATACAAAAATATGACTAAGTCAAAAGTCAACAAGACGGTACACAAGCCAAAATGCAAATCGAAAATAAGAAATTAGAAAAAAAAGGCCATGTGCTACGCTGTGTATTATTTTTTAATTTCCTATTTTCAAGTTGATTTTGGCTTCTATAGTGTGCTTTCGCCTCACATTTTGACGTAACTTCTACTTTGCGACTTTTCGACTTGCGGGTTTTGAAGGGGTGAAAAGTAGAAATTATGAACAGTAGTTATAGGCTTCCATACAATTAATATATGGACCATATACAATATTATGATTAATACATGGACATATACAATATCAAATAAACATTTATATGAATATTATTAATATTCCACCATTAAACAGTCACTAATATATGGATATATTATTATTCCATCATCAAATAGTCACACATTTGTCATTAATATATTCTTACCTTACGCACTGGCCTTAGAAACATTTTATTCATTATAAATTGATAGAATCCTCAAATCTGACAGAAATATAGATTGGATGGTTTGTTACATTTCTGTCATACATGCTCAATAAAATAACAAACTATAATCTATTTGTCATATAATAATGGCATTCTCTCCATAGAAATCAAATAAATATCAAGGGACAATTTACCAACCACAAATAATGAATCAAATTCATAATTTATGATTTGGAGAAGCTATAGTTTAATGACAATACAAATTTTGATGAATTCAGGAAGGTATTATTCATATTGGCTCTCTTGAAGAAGGAGAGAGGAATGGGGTTTAATGTCCACTTGACACAAACTATGTCATTACGGGACTAACATATGGTTCAATTTTATTTCAATAATTCACTTGTGCGTAGGGGGGTGGTGAAAACCCAAGAGATTCAACGGTCAACCCTACTGCTTGTCATGTACAATGCCACTTGATTCAATGACATACCTTCAGATCTAAGGTGCAGACATTTAATCATTTGACCCCTTCACCCCAGTCCCATCGGTTTCCTTGAAACTTGGCATTATGGTAGGTTTTGTGGACCAATGAATACAAATTCCCATAATTGCTATCTAAATATGGCCATCATGAATGAGCTGATGCCAGTTCTTGATACCATTATTTCAGGAATATGATTTAAATATGATTGCTGTGTGTCGTACAAGTAGGTTGTCAAACTATTGTGCAGATCAACAGATTTCCAGAGGCAAAATATCAGTGGGCATCTACTTCCCTCTTGTTCATCCCAACGATAAAAATTCTCTAGCATGAGGCTTTAATCTTTGCTGCGCTTATTTCTTGTAAAATATTCTAACGACTTGAACCCTGAAAATCTTGTTAAAGATGAATTCATTTCTTAGTAGTTTCAATCAATGAAGAAGTGCTGAACTTTTTACTATTTACTTCAGACTCAACAGAACAATGACAATAATAATAAGTATATCTCCATGCCCTTATAAGTTTTAATTAGTAGAAACTTGAGACTTTTTATTACGAACAGGTTTAAAAATAAATATTACTTGGATAGTTATGGTCATATTTATAAACGACATACAGTTAGGTTATTACACTTGAGCCAGATTATAATTTTGTAGAACTGTGGGCTACAGATACTGTGAGACACCCAGAAAGAAAAGTCATGTGCTATGAATCTAGCACTGTCTTTTTTATTCCTAGCCTGTTGATTGAACCAATTTTTTGAATAGATAATTGAAAGTACTTATACTTTGGTTCAGCATTCACATATGAAATATCTGTTCACTTAAAGGACAATATTGGTGCCAGTCATTGTCACATATGAAATATCTGTTCACTTAAAGGAGCTAAATCGCTATTCTTTAGCACATAGAAATGGATGCAAATGGGTCGCAATGCATATAATAATATAATATGAATGTGTATAAATTGATTTACATTCAAACCTTTCTGTTTTTACTGTAATTTCTAATCAGTTATGTTCGGCGAAATATGCGAAGAGTCTGAATTAAATGGCAGTCATTGGTGTCTGGTTACTCCAGTCTACACCGGTAGTATTCTCCTACATGGGATATGTTTAGCCTTGTTCACTGAGTCGCTTCATAAAACTGGCGCTCGAAAGCATTCTGGCACACGATTCGTGTGCCAATTTTAAATTTTTTATTTTGTTTTAGATATTGGATATTAGAAGCCCAACTTTTCATAGTAAGATAACAACATCAATGTTGATTTAAATTGTTCAATAAGTCGTGTTTGCAATGTCGAAGATTGTGGATGATATTGAGTTAAAGACTTGACTCCCTTAATACTCTTAATCGCTGCAGGATCTAAAGCCAATGCTATAATCCTGCTCTGCACATGGGTGAAAAACATACAAATGCTATGTTTTGATGTTTTATTTTGGGTTTATAAACAGCAAACAACGAAATTGTCTCAATTAAAATTGTAATATCTGGCAATACCCCTTTAAACATGTGCATGAAGAACTATTTTTGGTGAAATGTCCCTTTATGGCATGTATATAATTTGGTATGCTATAAGAATACATATATTTGTATAAGTGTGAGAGATGAATAGAGCTATGTAATATTCTATTCACCTGAGTTTGACTATAGTTATAAGGTATAGAAACCTAACTATTTCACTTATAGTGTATAGAACACTGTCACACGTATAACAACAGTGCTCACAAAATAACAAAACTCTTTATTTACACCATTACCTATTGTTCTCTTATCAAACAATGACAAGTTTATTGACACTATATCATTGTTTATATCTATACACATATCATAAAAGTATATCTTTAGAACACCCTGTAACACTTCTTATTTATATTTCAAATTAAGAAAGTTGACAATTTTTTTTGTACTTTTGTATTAAATAATAATAATATATAGTAATAATAATATGACTAGTGTGGTTTCTCCTTGTCAGTGGCACATGACAGACAGCGTGGTAAGGAACAGTGTCTAGTCGTTCAGATGGGACGAAAAACCTTTGGTGCTGTATACACACTGACGTGCATGTAAAAGAGACCTTGACTGTTGAAAATTGAAATAAGAGTAGGTTGTAGCACCACTATAATTCCTGGCAATATTTACCTCATAGTACACACTGCATGGCTTATGTCTGTCTTCATTACAACAGTCATTATAGAAAAATAAGACATTAAAACTCATTTCATTTCATAATGTGACTAACTCTAATTACAGGAAAATGTGGGATTCATTAATAGGTGATATGAAAGGACCAACACTCCAGATCATACACAATAACAAGTAGTCGTAACAAATAGAATACTGGTTCAAAAGTTACCTTAGTCGATCAATCCTATCGTAACTAAACTTAAATTTCACATTAGTTTCTATCTATTCGACACCACCTATCTTTAAATTTCTCTAATTTTCTATGAACACACCGACAATAATTCATTTTTATCTATGACCATCCAGCATAGACGTACGGGCTAGATGAATGTTAGTGGGGTAGAACCTGAAATACCTGAAAGAATTTCAGGATACAGACGGCGGTGCCGGTTGTCTGTGAGAGGCGAAGGAGCGGAGCTTACCGTGTATATATGGAAAGTAGAAACATCCAATCTGACTAGAAAAAATACTGGATTCCCGGAAAAACACCCATGGAGCGCATACAGGACAAAAATTAGGTAGGTCTACTCGAGTGACGTCAAAGGTTGCAAATAAAAATTATCCGATCTCTCAGTAGAGAGCACTTGATCTATATGTTGATAAACTTGATAATAACCAGAAGTCTCTAGAAATATCAGTATAAATTTATACATAAATGGTCCTGTATACATAGGCTTATGAACTCGATGCATGTTTGAAAATGTATCTTGCCGCAAACGTGCTTTCCTGCTATTCCAACCCGAGAATACATCCCAAACAACCAATCAATCCTTGCGGAGTATGGGGGCTTCATGCTCCCCGAGAAAATTTTGAAAATTTAACTGCCACAAATGCATTTTTCTGCTATTCTAGCCCGGAAATTAAGTAACTTTAAACTTTCCAAACGGTTTGCAACCGAAATCCCACTCTGTTCCAACCTGAATTCCAACTATCCAATCAAACTGTTGCAGCTGCATTCACAAAAAATAATCGATGCCCGAAAAATGACGTACAAAGAAGAGTGACTCCAGACAAAATGCTTTAATCCATAGTTAATTCAGTACAAATTCGTTGTATTTAATTAAAAGTAAAATTAGTGTGTTATTAGATTTCTGATTTTGCCAACCAGATAAAATAATAAGTTTTGTTTTCACTTTACCCATCTGCCCGAAAAGTCCCCCCCCCCCTCTCTATGACTTCCCTTTATACTGGGATGAAACCGGAGAAAACCCATTATATCTTGGCACCTATAACTGTCCTTATGACCTGAAGCGTATCTGTTAAGACCACACAGTCATCTCTAATCAAAGCTTAAGATCATTACAACTACATTGCATTTATTTGGTAAGTTGAGAGAGCTAATTGAAAACTGCACACAAAATATACAGACAGAACAATAGATACAGCAGAGACAAGAGCCCACAATAATGCTATGTTCCCACTGTCGTGCGATGTGTTATGCCATCAAAGATCGTATATAATACAGTTCTATGATGTCATTTCTAATTAATATAAACCATTTTGAATAATTAAATTGGCCCTACCTACCTCCATTACGGAACTGATATGTTTCTAGGTGTTCATGTAACTCTTGTATATGATTTAGACGGTTTCTAA